AAATCTGATTCACAGTGTAGCAGCACGAAGACTGACGAAGATAAGCGAGTAAATACGTAAGCTTCATATAATTTTACGATGTAATAGTAACGATGCATAAGAATCGCCTTCACCGTGAAGAGATACTTCTTGGCGGCCACGGGATAACACTTAAATAGGGACGTGCGCCCTCTTTACATATACAACTATATGCGCTTTGGAATCCAGTCCTGCTTTTTGTAATAACCGACAACCGAGTCTACTTTTTCTGAAGATCAGTGGATTACTGATGCGACGTAGAGCGACGCGCCGAATGAATAATTGCCTCGCACGGCCATTTGATGCGATTAGGGCTTTCATACCTTAAGTATATGCAACCTTGAACCTGTAAAGTTTCTTACTCTTAAATGACAATTTCTCACAGAACACATGCTTTCCATACTGCGAACTGTTCCTTTTGTGAATCTTTAGTTTAACTATACTTTTCCTTCCTTTAAATGTTTTGATCAGAACAATATAGATTCCGCGAATATTTGGTGTCAATTCGCACTCTGCTTTTCCTCTTTTTAAATGCAATGAAAATCTCTGTATGGTTGGGGTCATTCTTGCACCTAATAAGGTTGGATGGAAACAAAAAGTATGCCTACAAGACCTGAAGCACGTACGATTTTTTGCCTGGAAATGCTCTAAAATTGCTCTATTTCGACTTCAAAATTACAACATTTTCCGGGAGAGGACCCCTTACCCCTCCCCCCCCCCCCCCCCCCAAACACTTCTGGGACAGTCGATCCTTCCCCGTGGATGTAGGCACAAGAGACACCTAACGGCGAGTTTCCTCCTCATGGAAAAATCCTTCTCGATGGTGTGAGCACTGACTCTCCCGTCACGAAAAGAGAAAATTTCAGCGCACGGAGGCAAATTGGACCTCGTGTTGCAATATGGATTTACTTTTTCTACCTTAATTTAGAAATAACGCATATGCCACAAATTTCCATCTGTAGATGGATGAGCTTTTATGGATGAGTTAGAAATAGCAGTTCCACATCGCAGAATTAAGTCTAAATGTTTATGAGCCGATTCGCAAGTACATTTTGCAATAAGGAAGTAGTATTTCTTGACCATTTTAGAAACAACATATGTGCACATATCGCTCCAATTCGGGTAAAAAGCTAAACAACGACGCCTGAATACGTCTTTCCTATCTTCGGCTGCGTTGAGCCCTTTAAGCACCACTACAAATAGGACAAAGGAAACAAACATGAAATAGAAATAGAGCACAAAAAAGGACTCGTGTAGAGACGGCGCAGAGATACAACTATTCGTACTTGATGGATGTCCTTGTTGCGTACGAAAAATTGAAGGCGCGATGGCGCGAGATGTGAACTCTTAATAGGACGGAGTTAAACAGAAAGGAACCAAGCCACATCGGGATCGAACCGAGAAAGAGAGGTTTAAAGTTTGGCTCCTGCATAAGACTCAATGTAAAAGATAAACTTCAAATTCAATTTCTGCAAAATTTGCTCCAACAAAAACTTTGAATTTTTGGCGATAGATAGTAGAGCAGTGGTTGAGTTCAAAACCACTTATAACTCAATTTTTTCCAAAATGTGGGTTGGTTCCTTTCTGTTTAACTCAGTCCAATTACTCCGCGCCAAATTCCTTTGCTAATGAGCTGTCGCTCCGATTCGGGTGAAAAGTTAATTAACGAGGCCTGAGAACGTTTTTCCTATCTTCGGCTGTGTTGCTCGGGTAGCTCTGTAAGCACCACTGCAGATAAGACAAAGGAAACAAACCTAATACAGAAATAGAGCACAAAAAAAGGACTCGGGTTGGGACGGCGTAGAGATACAACTATTCGTACTTGCTGGATACCCGTGTTGCGTACGCAAAATTGAAGGCGCGGTAGCGCGAGACGCGAACTCTCAATGCTCCACTCCATGTTGTTTTGCTGGCTTTGCTGGTGGGCTGTCGCTCCGATTTGGGCGGACAGTTAAACAACAATGCCTGAATACTTCTCTCATACTCTTGGCTGGGTTGATACTCGATTTTTTCTTCCTTTTTAATTTAATGACAGCTTCTCTTTTTTGGGGATTTGTTCGTAGACCTATATCTCCACAGCTCGTCTGTGCCGACCACTGTTCTTTCGTTCACCGTTTTCTGTTTTCAACTATTATTTAATTATATTGTTTAGTAATTGAATTTTAATTAATTTTTGGTTAATTAGTAAATTTTTCTAACAAAAATTTTCAATTTTAAAGACAAAGATAATTAGTTTTATCATTCTATCAGTATAATTGATATATTTTCGTTTAGTTATTTGTCTTTTAATTATAACTAAAGATTAGATTTAATATCCTAACTTTTGACAAATTAATATTATCATATTTAACTAAATCTTTCGTTTATTAACTTACGAAAACTAGTAATTTTTTTAACTTCAAAGGTTAATGTTCATGAACTCAAGTTAACAAATTTTATCTTACGTTACCTTCCAGTAATCTTTTTTTGTTACAACTTGTCTTAACTCATTTAAGAATGACGGGCGATTTGTACATAGTTTATATCACTAATTTGCATCACTGTATTTCACTAAATTTACCACTCGCCCGGGGCACGTATTTTTAGTGAGCACTCGGGTCAATTTAACCCGGCTTGAGTATTTAAAGGCTAAACACATTTGAAAGCAACTTGTGAAAAGATTTTAGCTGGTATTGCCAAAATTACCTGAAATCAATGAATCAATAAATTAAAAATTCTCGCCCGCGCGCACACCAAGAGCAAAAAATCAACGTAGCTAAAATCGGTCATTGAAAACAATCTTTACGTTGAATAAATGACTGAGGTTATTTTCCACAAAAATCCTTCCTACTCTGATGCAAAGCACTGGATGAGATGGAAACTGCGGTAATTACCTACCCAATCTCATTATTTGCACTGTTATCGCTTTGGTGCCTATATTAATTTAATTGGATTTTGATTTTTGGAGGGATAACAGGGAGTTTGGACTTAAAAGCTGAGAAAAGATGATTTCTCAATAAAAAATTTAAAATATGAAAAGAAATAAATTAAAAATTGAAAATGTTCGATGTTTCTAGTGTATATTACGTAAAATTTTGATGAGGTATTTTGAAGCGTTTAATTTTTTTACTTTATCTAGTGGTTCACTCTTAATAATTTCAATTTAATTTACTTATTTTTAATCATTTCCTTTAGTTGATTTGGTCATGGTCGGATTTACCTACTTGCCGCTCATGGGCCGCCTGTATTTTGCCGCCCTCTTCTCATTCATTTTGAAACATCAATAAAAACCATCAAGTGAACGTGCCGGAGGGAGAAGGGTGCATAAGACGCGTTCACTCGTGTTGGACACATTTTTTGCGTAAGCCCTGTCAACACTACTAGCAAAAGTTCACGGAACTTTGTGCAAAAATTAAGTTCCGTGAACCTATATCTCTGTGTGGACGAGGCCTTTCAGTTATAAGAGAAGAATGAAAAAAATTTGAAAGAATAAACATAAATGTGGTTTAATAATTTTAACTTCCGCCGCCATGCCGCGCTGACCACACTGTGTTTAGCGCAATGCGTGAAGTATTCATGCAGTCTTGTAGGCACTGTGCGTTTCACGCCGCGCCGACCGCTGTTGACCGTACTGTGTTTGACGCAATGCGTGAAGTATTCATGCAGTCTCGTAGGCGCTAATATGTGTCACATGCCGACCGCCGCGTCGAGGGCTTCTTCTTTTCATCTCAAGTCCCCGTCATCATTTCTCTTTGCGCCGCGCCGCTCCAAGCCAAATTACGTGTTTGGTTTCTCTCTTAACTCAACTAATTAAAGGTGCGCAGTCTTTTGTATCGCCGAAATACGTCAAAATTAGAAATTAATGAACTCTGAGGAAATGAGAGATTTTGTCACCTTTTCTTGTTTGTAATTTTTTTCTGAATCCGATTTTTTGGTACCTGCATTTAAAAAAATGCAAAATTTGCCGCCCCTCTAATTTTGCCGCCATGGGCCGACCAGAACTTAGGTACCAGCCGACTCATGTGCTTAGTTTTCGTCTGCAATATTGCCACACTAAATTATAATTTCTTCTGGCAATATTGTCGCAACATTGCTCTCGTGAATCGGTACGTCGATCGTAAACCATTATGACCATTACCGGGCGTGTAAAACGTGATAGTGTACAGAAACATAGCATGTTGAAATGCGCATGCAGCATCGCATGGGGACACGTACCTGACAGTATTTGCCAACGGATAAAACTCCTGCAAACTAAAAGGTATACTCCTCTCGCCGCAGAACACTAAACAAGTCCGCGCCTACTGGGTTCATTCATTACCACTATGATTTCCATCGTCAATCTTAAAAAAGGAGGAAGTTTAGAATTTTATGTACCAATTTTGATCCTAAACGCGACGGGACAACATGACAAAATATGATACTGTCCAATTTGAAAGGAGTTTAACGATTTCAGCTTCAGCATTCTAGATACCTCATGTAAGAGATTAGGTTAAAATATAACGGACGAAAGTGGGAACGTGGTATAGAAATGATTACATTAATCATGATGAACATTAAAATTAAGCGGTAGTAGTATGGGACGCATAAAAATTTTCTTCCGGTACCGGGAATCGAACCCGAGCCTCCTGGGTGAAAGCCAGGTATCCTAGCCACTAGACCATACCGGATAGATGACGGAGAAGGGAAAATTTAGAGTACATCACTCTCATGAGCAGTTGATGTGGCCAGACATTGAACATTTCTAGCTAATTAATTAATTATAAATAGCTCTCCGGGTAAACAAATTGCAATCATCCAGTTCTCACAACACATAATTAGCATTGTCTTATCACACACTTGGTGTTACGTCACAGAAAAGCGATATATATCGATTTATTATTTTCATTGGTAGCTTTGAAAGAGGTTATGTCATTGTTATTGTTTCGGCCTGGCCTTATCTCTTATCACTAAAAATTTAGTTTGATTTAATTTTTCATCGTAAAAAGTTTCTAAAGAATGTTGGGCTCCTTCAGTATACCCTTATTTCTTTGTTGCACTATTTAGTATTTACTGAGTTAATTAGTGGATGTTATGTTGAATTTTTTCTTCGCAGGTCAATTCATAATTTCATTTCTCAGCCAAGGTTTCCCTAGGAGGAACTGAACCTGGTTTGTTTTTATTCCCACGAAATGTCACACGAGAGATTCTGCGTCTTGTACTGCACTGTTCATTCTTTTACCTAAATCTATTGATGCCTTTCTTTAAGTATTCTTTCGAGGCTCCAGGAAAGTAGATAGATAATCTCCCTGAGACCTCATTTCTTTTAGCTTTCATTGCCTACAGTGATGAATAAAAAATGAGTATGGAAATTATGTGCTTGTCATGCGAAAGTTATCGCATTTTTAATGATACACAGTCCCGGTTGGATAGGATTCGTTAAGTACTTGTCTACAATGATTATTCAATGAAACCCTGGGAGTTTTGCAGCTAATGAACTATGATTGGCAATTTTTGTCACTGGCAAATTTTCAAGAACAGTATTTGTCAAAGTCAGTTTTGTTTATTTAGGAAAATGGTTCACCATCAGTTCAATGTGGTCGAAAAGTACGGTTTCAATGGACCTGCAACGCCGCTGCCTGATATAGTCGAGTGGCTCAGTAGATATGGCGAAGGAAGTGTGGATTTGATCAAAAATTCAGAGACTGGCATAGCTCATGTCACTCTCAATCAAGTGAAGAAGAAGAATTGCCTCAGTGGTAAGAAGCCTTTGTAAATTTGAGGTACCTATTTCTAATTGACCTTTTAAGTGAGTTCACGAGCATCACCAGAGCTGAAATGCATTAGGTCTATTAAATTGCCACGGAAGTCTCTAAAAAGGAGGAGGTGTTACATTACTACTTATGGAATGAAAATGCAATCTAACCTGTTATCAAAGAATACATTTTATCATACTCCTGTATGTACAGACTTTCTTAAATCAATTTTGTTCCAGGTATTTACTTCAGTATAAATGGAGTTTGGATTTGGCTCGCTGAGCTCTGGTAATATATTGATGGTGAAACTCCCAAACAACGCATCTTGTTTGCAGTGCTTCAAAATCTCTGCTCCCTTTTTATTTTTTGAAGGAAAACAAATCAACATTTTTCCTTGAAATTTCCTTGGAATTTTCTTTGCACAGAGAATAAAAATCAAGGAGTTTTGAAAGAATTGACGTCGAGTAATTTGCCATCTAAATAATATAGTACGACAGGAATTCTACGACCCCGCAAATCGACATACATGGTTTGGAAGTTTCACCATCGATATTGAAAAGAGTAACCCAGTCGAAATTCTATCATTTTCAATGAGGATATCCAACCTATTGTCAATTATATTGGAGAATAACTTCATGAGGGAAGTGATTTTTAGGATGAAGAACAACTTTAACTGCTAAAATTTCCGATTTTGAGTCCCCATTAGCTGTAGGGGCAAATTTTTCAAATTGTTAAAGAGTCTCAATTCTAAACCCATATAATAGTCCAGGTAGAAAAGCTTAAACTTTCTCAATGTGTGGGGATCACATTGTAATATTTGTATGATGAAGTCTAAGCCAAATAGGTTTCAGTGCCAATAGAAAGAAACAGAAGATCCACCATCCCACTTTCTGAATTTAGTTTCAATGCAAGAATGAAGATGACAGATTTCCTGTCTCGCTGTAACAGTGTTGAACCTTAGTTTAAACCAATCTGGCGTGGACTCAAGCTCCTGGTACAATAATCAACAATGTTCTTTTCTCCTACGAAGTTTCAGCTCTTGTCAGTACTGAAGTTGGTATCGTGTTCTGATAAATTTTGTTTTGTAGAATTGGACCGTTTTGCACCCTTGTAAATTTCACCTGAAGAAGTAGGACCGATATTGGTTGCAGGCAAGATGATGGTTGATTTCTACCATATAGTTGAAGATTTGGAACAGTGGACTGATGGGAAAGGCATAATTCTAAGTGGAGCTGGAGGAACTTTTTGCTCTGGTGGGGATTTAGACGTTGTGCGGCAGATCGCTAATCCTGAGAGTGGTTTCAAAATGGCCTCTTTAATGCATTATACGCTGAATAAATTGAAAAATTTACCTCTCATCAGTGTCTGTTTCATCAGTGGCGCAGGTAATTTTGCAAATTACTATCATTCTTCATCAGTTTTTACAAAGGAAATAGTGCATATTATGTATAAATTTCAAAAGTGACCCAGCTCATTGAATAACTTTTGACAACTGTACATTTATCTATAGTTGCAGTAGTTTTTTTGCCTTCAATGCTATTTATCAAAGTCAACTACCTTAGTGGACTCCTAATTATAATATTGGAGCACCGAACAAAATTATTCTACATTTCTAACATATCTTAGAGCAATTATTAGCTCATAGGTAAGTATTGATGAAATTGCCGCATAGAAATTCTTTAACACACTATCAGCCATTGGAGCTTTCTATTTTTCCACACACTGATTTAATCATCAGCTAGATAATACCACATGGGCACAAAAAATATAAATTGTGAGCACTAGGTTTACCTAAAAATATTTTTGTTTTCTTCATTAACCAACATAATAATGTATTTTAATTGTTTATTTTTTGCACCCACTATAATAAAAAAATGTTACTAAGAATAGTACTTAATCAGAATCATTATATGTTTACCTGATTTTTTTCCCATAAAAAAGTGCATCCATTTAACAGGAAACAATTGCAAGTTTATTTAGGAGACGCAGCCACCTTAAGTTAACCCAGAATTTCATAAATGAGACTGTTTCATCTTACTTAAATTTATTAAAATTTCGGGAAAGAAGGCTGTATTTTAATAAAATTTTGAAAGAAGTTGAATGGAATGAGTTTTTTTAAGTAATGACCCAAGACAGTAAGACTTTATATTCTTTGAAAATGTCAACTGAGCTGTGTCCACCATGTTGTTTGTAGTTGTTTTTTATTTCTCGTAATCAAGGTTTGTTGGACATGAGTTAATTTTAAAATTCATTTTAATCATTTGTCCTTAACATGAACTCTAAACTATGCACCGGCTTCATCAAAATCAGTGGCGTGGCGTGAATTGCGATATATCGATTGTTATGCCATTTAAACCTATGAAAAAAGATCGATTATCAGGGTGTTCGCAGCGAACACCTTAGTAATCGATTCTTTACCATAGCTTCAAATGGCGAGATATCGATAATCGATTATTCACGCCACGCCACTGATCAAAATATTGTCGAGGGTTGTGGTGGATCTCTTGGTGATGAGTGGACAGGTGTCCAAAGCAATGAGTGGTTGGTTGTAAAAACGTCACAGCGCACTGCCAATATCAACATTGCAGCCATGTTTTTGCAACATTTGTATAACGTCACCATTTTTGGTAGTTGCCAGTTGGGTGATTCAATCCCTGCCTCAATCCTGGAGAGCAGAAAGCCTGTTATCAGCATGGCAACGTCCAGATTTTCAAATTCTCACATAATTTTCTTTAACCATTTTTAATCTGAATACCCAAGTGCTAAGAGACTCAAACGAACAGTCTAGGAAACCAGCTCAGCTTTGTCTGACCAAATTTGATGTTTCCAAATTTTTCGCCCCTATGAGCCTCGCAACTTATAGTTAGCATGTATCACTTTTCTGCTGATTTTGGTATTTTGTTAAGGAGCGTTTTATCATAAATGACAAAGGACGTTTTTTTCCTCCATTGAAAGGCATTTTTTAAGAATTTGAATTGCCTCATAAATTTTTTATATCTTATAACTGTTGCCCACAGCAATTCTAAAGTGAATCAAATCCATGCGGATTCAGAAGCCCATGGCACATGAGGCAAAAACAACATTGATTCTAATTTGCTCAAGAAGTTCATTTTTTATTAAGCACTGCTAATGAGCAATATTGGCAGTATAAATTCAAAACATTAAAATGAAAGTTTTTTCAAACTGACTCACAAACAATTTTTCCCCTAGTTAAACTGTTCCGATCATTTCCAATTCTTAATTGTCAATCTCAATTTTCCTTTTTTTCTGCTCCAGGGGCAATCGGAGGGGGAGCAGAAGTAGCAACAGCCTGTGACTACCGACTCATGTCTAATGAGCCCAACACTAAGATTGGATTCGTGCATTCAAAAATGGGTATAGCACCAGCTTGGGGTGGACTCCTGCGCCTGGTCGACATTGTAGGCTCACGGCAAGCACTGGACCTGCTTTTATCTGCAAGACTGTTAAGTTGTGATGAAGCTTGTAGCATAAATTTAGTTGATAGTCAAATAGATTCATTAGATTCCGTTAATGTATGGTTGCAAGATAAGGTTAAATTTGATAAAGAGTCCATTAGAGCTATAAAATTGACTCTCAGTGCCTGCTCAGAAAAAAATAGAGCACTTACGGAACTAGAGCAAAGGTTATTTGCGCCTACGTGGGGCTGCGCTGCAAACAGAGAGATGCTTCGAAGGGCTATAAAACACAAGTGAAGGAATCATGTAGATTTTAGTGTCTCTTTTGCAGAGGGGCTCTGAAAATCTTAGAACGGAAGTAATTGAAAGGGGCTCCGAGAGAAGTACCCTTAATAGCCCAGGTGCGCTCGTTTCTCTGAGCGGCAGCTATTTGGACCAACGGTAGTCTAGCTGAGACCATCTTTCATCTTAAGGATTGTACCTAAAGCTCCGTAAGCATCTACAAGTGCTGATCTTTAAGCAGAGGGTCTCCATAATCAATGACCTATTTGTGAATGTGGAAAAAAAAACTCCCAGATGTCCAAAATTTTCCCAGAGGACTTATTGGTCCATGATTCCATACTTTCTACAGGCCTTGAAAGGTCGAAGCCTCTTGGCGTTCCAGGTTATAGTTATTTCATGACATTGAGGATGACGGTAGCACTCACTAACCTGTTACTCCTGATGTTCAATTCACTAGCGGTTTTGTGATACAAATATTATTTTTAAATTAAAATATTTTTATACAAGACATTTCTTTTCTTCCTACTCTCAGTACCTCCTCTGGAGATGAGCCATCTGAAGGGCCATTCGTAAAACACCCAATTATCAATTTTCCAACTTTGAATGCTCTTGATGGGCATCTTATCAGCATTTAAAAAGAGATTTTGAAACTGCTACCCCCTCTGTAAACCTTACAAAATGTAAAAATGTCTCTTGAAACTAGAAGGATTTCAGCCTCTTCTGGCCATAAAACTAATGGAGCTCTTGTATGATACTAAGATTTGCAATTTAGGTAAGTACTTCTCTTTGTGTAAAATTTCACGAGGAACATGATGGTGCCGCGGATTTTCTCCGAAAAAAACCTCCTAATTTCCCAAGCTCAGAGAAAGCTCTTAAAGTTAGGCCCGTAATGAAGGAGATCGCCTGCCTTAGGAGAAAATCCCACCTCAATGTTGAGTCAGACTATCCATCTACAGGTACGGACCAAATACATTAGCAGGGTTGCTGTGGTTCGAGCCTTTGAGTTCCTGCACAAAGTGGCTACCTTGCTCATACAAGATGAAAGAATCTATTATGCTATCTGTGAACGAAGGGTTTGATTCAATATAGATATGAACTCCTCTCATGATGTAGGTAGTTCTCTCCGTTACAGCCTCAACTGGGAGATTGTTTTTTTGAGCTTCGAAGTTACGTTTTGGAGATGACCGTGTTCCTCATGAAATTTTTTAAGACAAGACTGTGTTCCTCATGAAAATTTACGTGAGAAAAGGAACTTAAAAGCAGGTCTTCAAGGCGTGCAAGAACATGCAATGAAGTGTTAGTAGACTTATTGACTATTGGAGAATATAAATACCGGCACTAATGTGGATTTTAAAATTATTACTTTATACAAATACTATCACAAAAAATTTACACATGTAGAGAAGTAACACAGTGAGATGATTAGAAACAAACTTCTTCCTTAAATATTACAAGCTGAAGTTAACAGTAAACTGCCAGTCACAATGGATGTGATACTAACTGAAATTACTTTTTGAAATTTCAAGTGATATTCACATTAAAAATGCATGATCTAGAATTTAAATTTATCTGAATTCATTTTGCCCATAAGAAATAAAAAAAGGAGAGACAGATGTGAAATTAAAGCCTTTACATAAAGCCAACAGAGGGCTCCATACAAAATTACAGGGAGAACTATTGTATTTGGACGTTTTTTTTTTTTTTTTTTTTTTTTTTTTTTTTTTAAATTTCGGGATTTGCCAACTAAAATAGATTCTGACAAATGCAAAATTATTTTCACTATTCAATAACAGAGTGTAACTAGAGTGTTGAGCCACATTGTATCAACATTTTTTAAATCAGCCTGCAATGATCAGAATTTTCTGTTCTGATGGTTTCCTACAAGTTAAGTATTGGATAGGAGAGCTTGACACTTACAAAAATTTGACTATTTTTTCCTGACCTATGACGTGAAATTATCAAAATAATTGTCTCAAGACATAAGGCTCTGACCTGCCTGTTTCTAATTTTTCTTCATGTTTTTCTGCTGACAGCTGAATGTCAAATAGTGACACTTGATTTTCTTCATATAAAATGAATGACAAAAATAATAATAAAATATGGATGAGATGTCAACTTGAGGACCATTCTTAAACTTACATAGAGATTGAAGCGCTATTCAACCAATGGACAAAAAATTGTCCTATTTTTGTATGATGGATTGTTTTCCTTGGAGAATTGGAGGTTATTTGGCTGCGAGGCAATTTACTTGTCATGGTGAGATGCTTGTCTTCGTAGAAGGACATAGATTTTTTCTTTTATCCAATCCTTGTTGTATGGTGCATATGAATTTGTGCTCTTTTGATAACTGCAAAACAGAAAAGTAAAATAAAAAAACAGCAGGTCACAGGAAATGCAGGATATCTAGTTTGAAATGAAAATAAACTGATACACATTTGAATGGAGAAAAAAAGCGAAGCTCCGCACTATGATTTTATAGATTCATTTATTAAGTTTTTCAGAGAAATTGTTCCATTACATTTCGTTCCGGGTACAGTAGGAAAAAACAGACAAATTCTGCAAAAAACGACAGTAGTTATCTGCCTTTTTCCTTCAGTTTCCGACTTTGTTGAACACTAGTAGGAAGAGACACTGGAAATTTTGTTTAAATAAAAAAATGAAATGAAGAGAGGAAAAAAATAGGTACAGAGAGATGTGAATTTTAATCATGCGGTTTCATCGTTTATTTTAGATTTTATTAGAAATAGAGAGATTTTGTGTACTTTATCCACAACAGAAGTTTCTTCCACTTCAGCATACTGCAATGTATTGATTGTGGAGCTGGCTCTACGATCAAAAGGTCCCAGGTTCAATTCCAGGTCAGATGACCAAAGTTAAGTGTTCTCAAACAAGGGTTGCCTGGGGCTGGTTGTTGATTTGGGATGACTGAGGGGGATGGAAAGCAATGGAAGCATGGAATTTCCCCCTCAGCGGTATTTGAAGAAAGAAGAAAAAGGCAGTTGACAATGACTGAAAAGGCTTAGTCTACAGCAGCAAATTGTAGACATTATCTTATTTCTCTCATTTGGGGATGCTGTAGGGGGTTCACTTTACAGGAAAAAATTGTTTTCTGAATATTGATACAATCTACACATATTTTCCAGCTGATTTAAAGAAGAAAAAGGCAGTTGACAATGACTGAAAAGGCTTAGTCTACAGCAGCAAATTGTAGACATTATCTTATTTCTCTCATTTGGGGATGCTGTAGGGGGTTCATTTTACAGGAAAAAATTGTTTTCTGAATATTGATACAATCTACACATATTTTCCAGCTGATTTTCAAGAGTGCGTGAGTGCAGATTGATATGAGGAAACTACCATGGTGGTAATGGCTGACGTGAAAATTTTAAATGTTCAGAACTTGGAGAAAACATTCTTTATGAAAATTCTTTGCCAGGAAGATAAGTTCTTTAAGAAGGGAAACTTTGTTATATTGAAAAACTAACACTTTCATGAATTACTTAGATTACTATAAGCTTTATGGCAGTGTTATAATAGCTTGTTCTTATTATACTCATTCGAAGTAAAACAAGTTAACCTCATTGCTGAAAATCCTACCGGTTATTCTTCAAACGTAATAATGTAATGATAATAATAACAACAACAGAAAAAAAAAAATGCAGATTAGTTTTTTAACAAGAAATAAATCGGGGAAGTCTGCAATGTAGTTAAATAAAACAGTATGTTGGAGTTTTTTAGCCAACATGCTTTAAAAATTCAGCATAAAGCTGAAAATCTCAATACAGAGGGAAAAAGCTCATATGAGCACAATTGTCTCTCAAATGGATATGCTGTTTGGTGCAACACTAGTTGCGACCATTCAGGAAGGCAACTGCAGACGCGCTTCGGCCTTGTCGGGCCAATCCTCAGTGCGGTGCAGTCTCATGAACTTCCTGCTACCAAGCTCGGAGAGATTGTGAAAACCAGCCCGAGATTTGGGCAAGTGGTTGCTGGCACAAGTAAACTTGCACCATCTAGTGAGCGATTATCCAAACACCCGCCGCAATCAGTTTGTGTAAAATAAAACACACGTATTGTGATAATAACTTACACTAAACATGATAAATCAGCTAGTTGGTCCATGAAATGAAAGAGCTGGCTGATGTCGTATGTGATGGCTGGTGTATTTGGGTTTTGCCGTTTCAAGTGTTCTTCGTATATTTTACAAACCCCTGAAAATATAATAAATTATGTGGAGATAAAAAATGGGTGGGGAATGTAAAATCTTCTTATCAAAGGCACATCACAAATATTACAATTGTGATGTTCAAAAATCTTGGATTATTTTTTATTTTCTTTCAGGAAAATCAAACAAAACGTTTCCTTCCAATTTTCAGTGATCATTACAAAATAAGAGAATAAAGTTCATCAACCGTATCCATAGAAACTGTTGGATGGTTTTCCTTTAAAAGTAAAATATGACCAAAAATTTGAGATGTCGCCTTAATAAACGTTTTTCGATTTTGGCCATCGATATAATTCTCTTATGAATACATTTTTGGAAAACACTGGATAAATTCAAAATTTGGATATTTAAAAGCTGGAATAGATATACAATGGACCTGTTGCAAACTTTTGCAAGAGCAAAAATAAGAGTTGTTTCTATCAGTAAATGTCTCAAAAATCATGATGAGTGCATTGGCAAAGTCTGAAATGCACTCCTAACTTCACAATCTGCGTATGAATCGGACACTTCCGAAACTGCAGTGGACAAACATGCCAGGAGTTTTCTATGAAAGAAATTTCATCAGAAGCGCATGAGTGGTAAAATTTATATTATCAACACTGTCAAGCATCATTTCTTTGCGAGCAAGATTTGAGTTGCTTAAGTATTTCAAATCACCCGTGGAATTACCTTTGTTTGGCGGCTGACAATTCTATTCAAGATAAAGCGTAGGCAAAGAGAGACATTAAAATGATATTGAAATATGAGAAAATTACCTTCCATACATTCGTTTATACTTTCATAATCCGAATAGGTCCTTGTTTCTGGTTTGTTGGACAGTTGAATCAGGAGTATAGTGTGAGACTAAGTAAAAGCAAACAAAAAAAAACCAAAAAATTATCAGATAAGAATTAATGAGGGGAACAAAAGTATTGAAAACCAAAGATATGAGAGCTTATCTGCAAATCAAGAGCTTTCATAAAAAGCCATCGCGCACAAAAAGTTTCACTACTACCTGAAGTTGGACGCACTGTTTGGTAAATATCAGTGCTGTCCCATGTAAATAATGTAAGCTGTGACCAATTTCTGAGCCTGGAGAAACGGAAAGAGTTTCTACTAGGAAGGATAGGTGCAATGAATGGATCTAGATAAGTTGCATTGTTGAAGTAAACTATTTCAGACTGTATAGAAACGGCATTACCCAAATCTAAACAGTCAGCGTTATTGGACTCCGTTGCAGCAGAAGCATCGTATGTTGAGACAAATGTCAAACTGTGATTACCTCAGAATCAGCACCACTCAACTGGTTAATACATGCAGTCAGATGGCACCACTGTTGGGTAGTGACCTGAACGATACTTGACTTTTGTCTTAACATAGGATGCTTCCGCTCTAGAATTGCCTGATGACTTGTGTGTTCTCATACGAAAGGCCAACGTTATTACCAAATGCTCAACAATCTCAGGAGGTCGATGCTACTGTTGAGTTGCGTTTGCAAACAGAAGAAGTTAATGGAATCGTACAAGTTTACTTCGACAACACACCTAAAATTACAAGTAGAGTTTGAACTAAACTGAATGAACAGATGACTGTAGAAGTGCGACAGGATATGAATAATCATCTTTCTTGCACACAATTTAAAGGCCAAAAAAAGATGGTGCGGTAGACCTTCTTCAGCATCCTAGGAGCCGATAAGCTTATTTGACAAGTATTTCCACTACTTGCAAATCGACGAGAGAATGCTACTGAACCCAAGCCCCAGAACATGCAGTGTCTGGATACTCTGATTTAAAAAAAGCGGCCCCTATAGGTAGAGTTGAGATGGTCGCAGAAAATTCAAATTGAGAGGAAAAATAGGTGTTGAAACATTTTGGAAGGATAACAGGTGCAAATTAAGTCCACATCAGTACAAACGTACACTATGGATAAAGAGGAGAATCTTACCATGATGATGACACGGTTTCTTTTCCGATCAGAGTTAAAAGGAAACAACACAGGAAGCTAATAATAATAGATAGAAGAAATTTAAAGCTCAAAACCAAGAGAAACTCGTCGGAACTAAAGAGCGACTCTAACTCAAAACACAGCTTTGAGCTTTCGGCTTGCGGCCAACTTACGTAGGGAGAAATACAGCTTTTTCGTTGATTGCTGAACTGTTGGAAGATGTTTTTCGGCGGTGCCATAACTGCAGCGAGCAGCGTTGCCAAAATATTAGATTCCTGCCATTATGCAAAATATATTTTTAGTATTGGACGGTCAACGATCCGGCAGCAGCGGCAGTTGAAGAATCTCCTCCTCCTCCTCGCGTACGCCGTACCTACGCGATCTCGCGTTCTCCATATTTCTTTGCATTGTTTTGCCGTGTTCGAATGCCTTCCGTGATCAAAATGTCTGAAACTGACGAGAGAAATAGCGTAGATCGTGACGAGGTAATCTTTTCACTGACATAAGATTCTTAGTTCATAATTTCTCTTATCTATTTTGATTGTTTATCATCGCCTTCCGCATCTCTTTGGTGCCTCTCAATCGTTCATTATAAAAAGGCGGGAAGCCGGGAGGTGATTCCTCTTGGCACGTTGAAACGCAATTACGAGATGACTTTACGTTCAAAGTCGATTTATGAAGTCCCAGTCAGGCTATTAATTATTTTCTCCCCCACAGTTCCCTGTTAAAACAGGCCGATATCTCTAGAGGAAGGTTGAACTGGCATTGTCCGATGTTTGGTCGTTGGTCTTGCTGAGGCCTCAGTGAAGTCGTTATTAAGGCTTAAGCATTTTAATGTATATAATTCTTGTGAAATTCGAGACTGGAAGATTGCTCATCTTATCTATGAATAGGCCTCTTTGTGCATTTTTAGTTTAAAACTGAACATTGACGAAACTTCTAACTGGAGTCCACACATTTTCAGAGTGAATTAGATCCACCATCTTGATTGTTATTCCCACATTCAATTTTAATTGATGATAACAGATCATCTGTTGCACTCTGAAAGTGTTCTCACTTCTTTGGTATGAACCTTTATCTAATCGCAACGCTAGTCATATTACACAGTCTTCCTGAAGTTTAGAGGCACGTTGTCATTGTTAACCTAGCTGATACTGTTCGGCTCTTCAGTTAATTAAGTTAATGCAACTCAGCAGTGCAAGCAGCCTCTTGGGACCATAGAGCATTTGATGAAAATGTCAGGCACTTATATGTAAACACGCAACTCATCTGATAATTCAAACGGAGTCTAACGACACTGAATGTTCTGCATTGGGTATTTCTATTCAGAGACAGTCCCCAACAGTTTACTTTGACAACATAACAATGCGGGTGTTTTCAGTCTTTCTATCACATGCATTCTACTGTGCTCCTTTTGCTCTGAATTGAAGTTTCATTAGGTCGCCTAGATTTATCATATTCCTCCTTTACTTGTCCTAAGTCCCTCTTGTCTAATGTTGCCACTACTACCAATTCCAAATAGAATCTCACAAAGCAAACAGGAATAGCGCATAGACAGAACTGTCAGAGTAGTGAGGTGTGCGAGCCATTCAGGATAAGTCCAAGGAAGGTTTCTACTTGAAATATAATCAATTTATCACCCAAATTCAGCTTCAGCTTCATAATGCTCAGCTGTGAAAACTTCTAAACTATTTGTATTTGTTCACCCATCTTGTATTATCATTGTAAAATGCTAAATTAAAATTTCCTTTTCTTTCACATTTCTAGAAAAAAGATGCTGAAGAAGGCAGCACCACTCCAGCTAAGTCGGACAAAGGAGAGCCAAAAACTCCTGTTAAAGAGGCGAAAACGCCATCCAAAGCAGATTCCAAAACACCTGTGAAAGGAGATTCAAAAACACCAGTCAAAGCAGAAAATGGAATTTCCTCCCCAGCATCTGAGAAAAAGAAAGGAAAGGAAGAGAAGGAGGCTCCCATTAAAGCCCCTGCAAAGAAAAGAGCAAAAACAGAGGTGAAAGAAATCAAAAAAGAGGAAGACGATGAATCCGAGAAAAGTGAAGATGAGGAAGATGAGGATGATGAAGAGTCTCCTAAAAGAAAATCAGGTATGAATAAAATTGAATGGAAATGTCTGAGACTAAATTCCATGTTTTGCAATATTGATTTGTCGGTACTTAATGAAGTATTTTCAATATTGTTTGCTGATCAGGTGTTACTAATTTGATATTGGATTTCCATCTCATCTCTTATTTGTTGTATCATCTAAGAATAAAGCAAATCTAGACTAAACTTTGGCATAGAGAAAAAAAGGAGGTGTTTGCATCTTAAGGATTTTTTACCCTGTGACGTAGGTCAGCACAACCTGGCCAGTAAAATCCAGAATTCGAAGTATGAAAAAGGAACCATCACATCCGATTTTTTTGCTCAAATCAACTCATGATATAATTTCAAACACTGTTGGAACCATTTTTCTGTAAACTACACGATTTCCAAGAAAATCGATGATTAAACTCGTCCGTACCGACCTTCGTCATCAATAAAATGCGATATGTCCGAGATGCAAACACCTCCTTTTTATCTCTGTGAATATTATGTAAGGTTGCCAGATTATACGATATATTAAGGATACTCTCTTTTACATGACGTTAAATATGGAAAAGTGCTGATTTTTCATGAAGTACTATTTGACAACTAAATGACTAATGCTTGAAATTATGAGAATACAATTCGTTATCTAACAGGCTAAAAAGTTTTCTTTCTTTGAATTGCGTTCAGCATGGACGGTTTTCATCCATCTTAGGAGACGCTTCTTTTTCCTTTTTTTATGGCAATAATGCTGATAAATGCTACTCATCTGTGTACAATGTTGCCTTTTTTCCAAAATCAGATATTTTCCATGAGTTGTATTAAATTTTCAGAAAAAAGTATAAACATGTCCTTACATTGAAACTCAATTTCTCGGTTATTTTTCAAATTTAATGCAGTTGAAATATCTTCTCCTGCCAGTAAAATTAAAGTGTTGTAATTTTATTGTTGTTGTTATTTTTACATTATTTTGTACCTGTCTTTAGTTCCTCTGCTTGATGCTCCCCTTAAAGTTGAAGGCACTAGAGAACGGAAGAAGGTTGAGCGATTCATTCCAACCAGTGAACCTAAAACCCATTCAGCTGTCGAAATCCCAGAAGGAAAAGGCACCCCTATCGGGGAAATTGAAATAATTGCTGAAAATATGCAGGTGAGTGTTCAATAATACACTTTAATGGATGGCATAAGATCCATAAATAATGTTCTTTTTTTGCAGAATTTTTTGAAAGCAAAACCAGTATGTTTATTTTGCCAAAGAAATACAGAAAAAATGCTGAGACTCAGGGTTGCAACAGGCAAAGAAAACCTGGAAATGTCAGGCGAAAATTGTTAGGTCATCTTCATTTTCCAGAATGGGTTTGATATTTTGAACAACAAAGGACCGCGCGCACCTCTTATGGGAAAGTGCACCATGAAGGATCCTTAATTTTTTTATAGCATTCGATTCTCCTCAAGCTGCTGATCAAAAGATATCATTGCGTCAACTTTCTACGATGCACCGTTTTCGCAAAAAACGGCCGAGAAGATTCAATTATTCGGCGACAATAAATCAAATTGAACAAAGCATTCTAGAAAAATGTAGCGCGTGTCCGTCTTCTTATTTTTACTTGCCAACTCTAGGGCTATCTCCCTCCCGCTCTTGTCCGGTTGACGTTCACTGTTTTTCTCCGACTTTCCTGTTCTTATGCTCCTCAAGAATTTGATTTGGATGGTCGAGCCAAACAGCATGCGGAATCCGAGATAAGACTGCCGCTCGGTGCTGGGAGTTCCCCTGATTTCCTTGTTGACACACAGCCGACCGTTCACTCAAGTGCTGATAGGAGCCGAATAATTGAATTTTCTCAGCCGTTTTTTGCAAAAACGGTGCATCATAGAAAGTTGGCGCAATGATCACTTTTGATCAGCAGCTTGAGGAGAATCGAATGCTATAAAAAAATTAAGGATCCTTCATGGTGCACTTTCCCACAAGAGGTGTGCGGGGTCCTTTTGCTTGAAAACCATTTCTAATTATGCCTTTTAAACCATCTAGCATATCTTCAACTGTCAGGGAATTTCATTTTCTGTGGCAACCCTGTACGTAGTCCAAGAAGCATAGAAAAAATGCTGAGATTAGGCTGGAACTGCTGGAAGTAACAAGAATTAAGAAACTGCAGGATGCCTCACTCAATTGCTTGGTCATTATCAACTTTGGAAAAACCAACACTGAAAAAGCTGCAGCTAAAATACTCTTTATTAGTTCACGGTGATGATAGCAAGACAGAACCCTCAGAAAGAGCCTCTCTCGTTCTTTTTCTGTTTGTTGCTTTGACTAAGTTTTAGAGCTTTTGTAGAGTACTTCAATCTGTTAGTGTGATTTTGAGAAAGATATATTGAATATTCGAAACTTTGATCCAACCCACCTTGGTCTTTTTAAATCTGTAGAGGTACTCGCTGAGTTCCAGCGATTTGGAAAGTTAAGGAATTTATGGTGACTTGAAAAAGTCAGGTACTTCAGTAAGCAGCATTCAATAGAAGTCAGGATCAATATGAAGAAGAAAACCTAATTGGACCAAAAGAAAAAAGAAAAAGGCAGGGAAAGTTAGGAAATAGGAAATTGAAGAAATTATGAAAACCCTTCACCTGGGACCTTCAAACACTGGCTTTGATAGCATGGTTCAAGTGACCATAAAAAGTACTTGAATTTGAAAAATATTTTCAAAGGCCTTGGAAGTGCTCAATTTTTGCAACATGCTCATAAATTTCTTGAATTTTTCTCTAATCTGTGAATTTTTGCTGTTTATGATATTATTAAGCATTTGCTGTTAAATAGATTGTTCGGAAAGACATCCTGTTCACTAATAAAATTGCAATCTGCCTTTTAGTGGACCATTAATTCTTAACTAGGACTAATATACAGAGGAAACTGTGCGTCTCCCAAAAAATTACACACAAGACCATGATAAGTGCTTGATTTTTTATTCTTGAGTAGGTACCAACTATAGACTGGCTTTTTGCACCAACTTATTAACTTTTTCTTCTCCTCTGTGTTTTCCTTTCCTCGTCTGTCCCTTCATTTAAATCAATAGATCAAGTTGTATGCATTTGCTCACGCAATCCCTTTCAATTCTTCCAGGTGTACAAAGCGGAGTCACTGAAAAATCTTCACAGAATTATGTTCGGGCGGGCTGGCACTAACTCGGTGGTCAAGAAGAACATTCGACTTTTCAAAGGGTTTGACTTTGACAGTTCATCTGACCAAGCAGAAAAGAAGAAAACCGCTCTAAGCAAGTAAGCTAGTTTCTTTAGTTATCCATGTAATAATTAGTGAAATAGTATCCAAGAAAAATCACCATGATATCTGTCGCCAAAGTGGTGACATCCAGTCACCTTCTTGTAAATCTATACTACAACTCATTTAATAAATGATCTCCATAATGTAATTGGTACTGAGTGTACATTACAAAATATTAGCCCATTAATTAATAATTTAATTTGATCCTACCGCTTCCAGCATTAATATTCATAAATGCAAAAATCAGTAACGTTGAACACTTAAAAATAATTCTAATCTCATTTCTGAAGGTTGAAAATGGAAACACCAAGCACCCATTACTTACAGGTTCTTGGAGGAAAATGGGAAAAAATTTAGTTACAATCATTTTACATTGTTGATTTGTCTTCATCCAAATCATAAGAATTTCAAACTCAGGACAATTGGAGGTTGTTTTATGTTCAACCTTACTAAAATGCAAAAATACTGTGACAGTGCAATAAAGTACCCCACAAAATGAGTATTGGGTTGGTCTAACCACTCACGTAAACATTGACAAGAACTTGGTCTATAGTAGAAACATTGATCTATTGAAAACATTGATACCAATAGTAAGTCGACAGATGTTTCTGAGTTGTCGGTTCAGAACTTGCCCATTGCTTCACAAAGCTGTCACTTTAAGTAAGTCAACAGGTCAACTGAAATAGAATACAACTTGTGACCTTTCAGCAAATATCTAGGTAAATTATGTTTTCATGACCTTGACAAAAATTGCAACAAAGTTTTTCTGCAAATTCTAGAATGAATGTCTGCTGGACTGTAGAGAAAAACTTGTTTGATAAGATAGTCATCCAACAAAAGAAGGAATGAATCATTTTTATAACTCCTTGCAAGAATTGATTATTCAACTAGTTTTGGATTTTTTCTTTAGTTTCCTCTCCTGACCGTTCTTGTTCTGTTATTTTTAAGCTTGGTTGCATATTTTTCAGAATGAGAGTTGGTGACTTGAAAACTATGCTGAAGGTTCTTGATTTAGAAGTGAGTGGCCCCAAAGAGGGACTTTGTGAAAGGTTATTCCATTTCTTGTCGAGACCTTTTGACTCTGGAAAGAAACCTAAGCCAAAACGTCCCAGTCGTTCGAGCAAATCAAAAGTTTCGAAGAGAAGCTATGCTGAGTAAGTTGCAAAAATTGTAAAATTTGTCTATCCTACAATCATGTAATGTTCTTACCTCTCAATCACTCAAATTTGTTTGCCTAGGAAGTTCAGTGTCAAGAACAAGACACGGATGGGGACCATGGGTCTTGTCTCGAAAGGCAGAAAAAAAATCTGGAAAGCTGTAGTCTCTTTTATTTAATATAGCTTTACTTCTATTATTGTTTTGAATTTTGTGTTGTTCTTTGTAATATTCAGTTATTTTTTCATTAATTAAATATCCTGTACACTTGAACAAACAAAAATCTCCCAAACTCAGAATAGCCATCCTCAGATTTTTTTTCTTAACATTATTTCTTGCACTATGTAAAAAAAGCCTATTGCAAACTTTTACTTGAGTGAAAGTAAGGGTTGTTCGTCATGGAAAATGTCTCAAAAAGTTGATGAGTGCATCGGCAAAGTCTGAAATGCACTCCTAACTGCTCAAGGATGTTGCGTTTTTTTTACCTTCCCCGCTTCAGAAACAATACTACAGCACAAGTGAATTTTCTATTAAAGTAATCACATTTCATCCGACCCCTGCCCAGTAGAATGCTACGCAATGTTCAACATGGCCGACACCGATCTGCCTAAACACATATTACGGAACGAAATTCAAACCACCTGTTAACAACTGGCGTGTTTACATTCACATTTTTCTAGCATTGATAAAGATCCATTTGGATTGACCTTGTGCTCCACTTGATTTGCATGCAGAAGCTGTTGAATATTGCGAAACATCTTAGTGCCCAAGGGTTAGATGGAATGACTCCTCCAACGAAATGTTCACCTGCGCCGTCGTATTGTTTCTGAAGTGGGAAGCTCAAAATCTTAACATTTGACCTGGGGCCAGTGGCTCCTTGATGGGATCAGACATAGTACTTCTCTGTCTGCATGATAATGCCCTTTTTTGCTCTGTCCAACCTAAACGACCAGACTACAAGGCATCCAAGTTAGGGCTTTTACCACATTAATACTTTGCTCCAAGCAACAGTGCACGATTATTAATGTGTACTCATCTTGGTTGGTGTAGGTCTGATGAAGAGGACAGCGATGATGAAGAACCAAAAAAGAAGAAGAAAGGAAAGAGCCCCAAACAGGCAGCATCTAAGAAGAAGGTGACGAAAAAAGCACCAACCAAGAAGAAGACAAAGACAAAGAAGAAGAAGGAGGAAAGTGAGAGCGAAGATGAGTCAGATGTCAGCGAGGAATCGGAAGAGGACGTAGATGAGAGCGATGTAGAAAAAGAGGAACCCAAACCTGTAGAGAAAAAGAAAGAAACCAAGAAGGACTCAAAGAAAGTAGTCAAGGAAGATAAAGCTAAGAACGGTAAATCAACAAATGGCAAAAAAGAGGAAAAGAAGATCAAAGTCGAAGCTGATGATGAAGTTGGAAGCGATGATGTAGACGATGTAGAGAATAAAATAAAGTCTGAGCCAGAGGATGAAAAATCAGAAGGAGCCCATTCGGAAGAAAATGATTCAGAAGTCAATTCAGAAGAGGTGAGGCTCAAAATTTGTTTTTCCCCAAGCAGCATTGGCTTTTTTAAAAAAGTGCTAAAAAATTCACGAATATCAAAGAGCTATATGAGGAAAAAAACCTATTAAAATAGCCAAGTTAGAAAACCCTTCATGTCAGGGTTGCCACAATCAGGCAATACTGGGATATGTCGGAGAGTTTTAAAAAGTCAGGGATACCAATAAAAGTTTCAGGGAAATATTTTTCAGTCACCTTTATTTGCTTTCCAGGATGGGTTTAACGTTTAGAATAACAAAGTTTCGTAAAAAGTATTTCATTTAATGGCTTTTAAACCATCTGGTTTATATTCAGTTGCCAGAGAACTTTACAAATATGTGTTAGGGATATGCTAGGGAATTTCATTTTTTACATTCTGTAGCAGCTCTGTGATGTGGAAATGTGGATGTAACTGTGATACAGGTGCTTAATCCTCATAGCATCTGCATGATTCATTCAAGTAAAAAACCTAAAGTGGTTATTCAGGACTCTCTAAATCGTCAAGATTGATTTGTCAGCCAATGTCGGTTTAAAAAAAAAAAAAAGTTGGCCACCTTAAACTGAATACTAAGATTGTATGTGTAGCATTTTTTTAGTGTACTTTGATTTTTCATGATCAATGGAAAAAAATTGGGAAAAGGACATCTCTATTGATCTTCTAGAGGCATACTGATGAACCAGCATGTTACTAGGTACATGGAATGCTTTATGGGTTAAATAATTATAAGAATAGCTAAAGAAACTGAACTGCGCATAGAAATGAAATATGACTCTTTTTACTTGTATGTATTTGGGAAATGGGGTCATGCTGCGTAATGACATACAGTGCATAATGAATGTATTGTGAACACAGTCATGCAGGGAAAATGGTTCATGGTGTGTATTTCCACTTAGTAAAAATGGACAGAGTAACTTAGGAAGGAATATGACTCATACTGTAAAGTATTCAGCCGGTGGCTATTTACACACTTTGGTGGAAAGATGGCAGTAATGTGCCGCTGTTCTCAACGGATTATGCAGTTTTGACACGTAAATGCTATCACCTAGCGACACCTGGCAGAAAATTGAAGCAACACACCGCTGGGGTACTTGTAAGCAGGTGTGCGTTGACAGGATGTATGAATCAAGTATCTAATGCAAGTGTTAGTCCTTCTGAAGAAGTTTTTTTTTTGAATAAATGTTAAACAACATTTCCTCAAAATCTTAGCTATCTGTTTGACAACAGTCAAATCATTATTTCCAAACGGGTATCAGAATAATTGGTTCCTCAATTCGACAACATTTTGCAATCTATAATGTCCGGTTCATTTAAGAAATATCATATGTGTCATCTGTATCCCTATGCATATAGGTGCTTTTTAGGAAGCACCAGAAATAGTAGTTCTCTAGTGTAAACTGTTAACCAATTGAGGAGCCGCTAGTTTTGGAGATGCTGTTGCACAGTTCACATGCTTGGGTATCTAGGATCCCGAAAAGACAAGGAACCAACTGGAAAAATAAGGATATGTTTTGGGAAAGGTAATTTAATATCAAAAGGTACTGTAACATCGTCCTTCCTGAGGTGGCATGATCTATGTTTTAAATAACTTCGACTCATCAGTGCATTTTTGTCAATTTGTTTTTTAGGAATCAAAGAAACCAGCCAAAAAACGAGCAGGGAGCAGAGAATCCCCCAAGAAAAATACAAAAGCAAACGCCAAGTCTTCAGACAGCGAAGACGAACCTCCGAATAGTAAGAAGACTAAACAAGAGGCTCCTTCTGTAAGTATAAACTGTAAAGGACTAGAAATAATTGAATCTCGAACTAAAAACCTCTAGGTTGTAATTTGTACCACAACACTAGCTTAAAATGTGGAATGCTATCTTCTCTCCCTCCCCTCCTCTATTATTCTTTGTAGCTGCCAAAAACAAATTTCTTAATTTTTTTTTTTTTTTTAATCGGTCTCCATAACCCAACTTAATTTTTTTATTGTGAAAACCATGATGAAATCTTGCTGTGTATCCTCATATTAAATTTTAAAACTCAGCTGGTCGCAAATTCTTAATTTGGTACTGATGATGTATTGGAAGTAGTGTAACTTCAATTGATCAAATTGCGTACTTGGGTTTAATAGATTAATCCTCCAGTCCCGCAAGGAGGCCCTTATGGCCATAAAAAAAACGGAATATAACTAATTACAATACATTTAATTGAATTCATTTTAATTTGAATAAAATTTAATTAAAATCCTGGAAAGGGAGTAAATTCTGCCATTCTTAGTTATTACATTAAAAAATGGTATTAGTTTACCAGCCAAAATAAATAGTACCAATTTGAACTGCTGAACCCAAACGATCTTGTATTTCTTTAATAAAAAATGAACTGCTTGACCATTAATAGATCGATATCACAACCTGATTTAATTTAATGGACCGTATTTCTCTTTCTCTTATTTGGAAATCAGCATATTTCCTCCCAATACCATGACTTGATCATATCGTACGGAAAAGAATGGAAACTGGAATAGTCAGAGACTGTGACTGAGACCCCCTCTATCTTATTTAAAAAAATTCTCCACTTGCAGCAGCAGCCAAAGTTGCCAAGGGTAGATTCTGGGAAGTTCGTGCAGAATAATTTCCAAGTAAAAAAGGCGCTCATTACAAGAGTAGCAATGTGGCCATTGTAAAGTTGAAGAAGGCTGCAGCTGCAAATAAAAAGTTTGCATGTTATCTCAAATTAAAAACTCTCATTAGAATATTCCATATGCATTTCCCATCTAACTTGATGCATTTATTCTCAGGACGATGAAATTAAAGCTTACATTAAAAGGCTCCTGGATGATGCTGACTTGGAAGAAATCACCATGAAAAAAGTTTGCAAGAACGTCTTCGATCACTATCCTGACATCGACATTTCCAAGAAACCTTTCATCAAAGAGACAGTGAAAGAGGTGAGTTTTGAAGTTGCTTGTCTCATTCTAAATGACGCAAAATTAAGGAGCAGTGGACTTCTAAGACCCCTAACTTGCCCCAAAATTTTAGGAGCTATCCCACTGACAAGCTGAATACTTAAGAGTCATCCATTACTTGTTCAAGCTTGTGATGATTCCTGTTAATGAAATTTGAAATTTCTAATGAGCAAAAATGTTAGAGCAATTGGATCCGCACCCTTGTTCACGCTCCTTGTCTGGCAAGTACCTGTTTTTTCAAACCTCGGAGCTCTATCTTCAGATGTATTTCAAGCATGGCACCCAGTTCAAACACTTAAGAAGGTCTAAAAAACACAGATTTACACTGTATTTCTGAACTTTTAAATCTGAGGTTTGTAGTTATTGGAAAGAGAGGAATGACAAATTATTCACTTTGGCAGAAAGATCGACGAAGAACATAAAGAATTCAGACATTTTATTGTTTCAGTGATCAAGAATCCTAAGTTTTATCCCTGGTCTCCCTCTGCAAATGCAGGGAAATTTATAGGTCTTCCCTTCAATATAATTAACTTTCTCCCATTTTGCCCTAAATTTATGATCACACCTTTTGAAAAGTAACTTACCAGGGTTTCCCCATTTTCTCCTGTTCTCACACGGGTTTTCCATTTCACAAGATCGGACCGGTCAAAAAATTTCATCGCTTTTCGCAATTTCTCTGCTAAGTCAGGGTAAAGGAAATTTGTTTAAATTGGACTGTTTCTCCCAAAAAGTGGGAGGCTGCCACCATCTAGGTGACATCGTGCCTGTGAATAAAGCTCCTCTGGTTCAACACATTCCCCACCATTGTGTTTTAGCGTATTTATTCCTCTCTGGCCAGAAGGAAAGCACAAAAAAAAAAAACAACCAAATCCAAATGCTTCAAACATGGCTTCCACCGATCGCTGCAATGCTAGCAGACAATAATCCAACTCAACACCAATGGCTGGTGTCCAGAATTGCGCCACTTTTAGTCTCAGATCATGTTTTACTTTTTTGAAGGAAAACCAGCCAACAATATCTATTGAACTTTTCTGCGAATTTTCTTTACTCATTCACGATAAATCTTTCAAAGTTGCAAGGAAACATTTTAATTAGTTTTCCTCAAGGAAAATAAAACATTATCAAAGATTTTAAACGTTGCCATTCAGATACACATTTTTTGCTTTTAGCTATTGATGCAAGATCATGTCACATTGCATGCCTTATTATATTTATTTTTTTCACAGCTCTGTATAATGTTAATCTTTTTTTTGTTTCAGTTGATCTCTGGTTAAAATCCGCAAAGTGGGTTACTCTTTCATCTCTTTGACAAAGGTACCTAAAATGTTAGATAACTGCAGGAATTGAACGAACTGAAGATTTCATACCAATCTGATGATATCTGATTTTCTGATTTTTTTTAATTTAGCTAATTGACATTTTCATCCCTTTAAAGGAGAGAATAAGTTCTCTAACCACTTCAAAAAACGTGCTTGTCGAGGTGATATTTTCTTGCAGATCAAGTGAAGGAATTCTTAATTGCCCAGGTTGTGATTGCCTTTAACTTTTCCGCCGATCAAATTAGGAAAAACATCTCACTTTAATGGGATATTAAATTGTTTTGTTGCCTGCCAAAAAGTATGGTTTATTGTGGTTATTCCTCCGTTTACTTTCGCTTGAGTACTTTAAGTGTCCAATCGGTCTGATGTAAGATTTTTCCTCTCTCAATTTTTCAAGTTTCAGTTTAGTGTTCTCTACTAATTTTTCCATAAGTTGCTAATTCTATCAATCATTGTCGTTTTTTGTCTGCCTGTTGTATTTACGTTTTTATTCCCTAATATTTAAGCTGCAAAAACATCATGATTTCATTTAAAGTTTGTGATAAGTTGTATATATTTTTCCCTTTTTTTAAGTCTATAAATTTCTGTAACTTAGCCTCTTGACAACAGGTTTTGCACTCCAAGCTAAAAATGTTCTCTCTCGACTTTTCTTTTATCGGAAGAAATATTTTTGATCTCTGTTTTTCCTCCACTTGAAGTTGTAAATATAGTGTACGCCTCAGCCTCTGTAAAGAAGATAGCCTGCAATTAAGTTTTGTGTTCGGTCGAGGACTGCTGGCCAAAATTTAATAGGTCAGTGCAATTTAAGGATACAGAATGACAAAATTGCGCATGTTTTCGCTCCTCTGATGTGAGGGCGCATCTCAATTTCCATGTTAGTCCTGTTGCCCATATAACTTCATACTTTATGGGGCTCACATGGAAATTGAGGTATGCCCTTATGTCAAAGGAACGGCAATATGAGCCATTCATATTCTTTAAATCTGTTAAAAAATTGACAAACCCCAGGGCAAAAGATGAGGTCCTTTGTTTAAAATGAGTTGTGTCCCTGCAATAAGGAAGGTCTCCTTTTGCACCCATGATTCATATTTTAAGGAATAGAAATTATGTAGTAATGCATTCATTGATGGAAATAAGGGCCTCATATTTTGCATTCACTATAATGGCTTAATCTCCAATTATTTCAGTGCATTTTTTTTTTATTTCTCTCTTCAGTTTTTTTCTTTTTTTTTTTGGACAGTGATTCAATAGGATTAATGAAGCTGGTATATTGTGATGAATAATGGTTTTTACGCAGCCCTTAAATCCTGTTTAAGAGGTCTTTCAGTTTTCCATAAACTGCTTTGGTTACTCCATTGGTGTAAATTATTTTATGATTCCTTTTAATTTTTAAAATACCTTCTACTGAAATTTGATCGCAATTATTTGAGATGCAATACATACCGCTGTTTTAAAAATCTGTAGCATTAAGAATTCAAGATGGATCCCCAGATCTTAGTTCAGATTTTCGCTACTAAAGTGTTGGTATCTAAATGTAGTTGTAAAATTTAAAAATGTTTAAACTGTTAAAGAAAATTACACAATGTGGGTACTACTCATTATGAACTTGCTATATTCACTTGAGCAGTAATTACAAAGTCGCTCAAACCCCTTTCCTGAGGTATTCAACTTTTTAATGAATGCTTTAATATCGTCAGCAATAAAATGTTGGGAAACAACAAACGAACAATGGTTGGCAAATGTCTGAACTAAGATCTGTAAATCCCTATTCAGTGACTCCCTATACTGTTTCTCTCTTTGATATTTTTGATCAGATCGTACTTTTCTCTGATGTAGTATATTCTGAAATATTTCCTAGCTGTTCCTATGTTTTGCTCAAACCCGGTTCATTTTTCAATACCATTTACTCAGTTGTACTTGAGGATTGCTTGGTCTTGAGAAACTTCGGTTTATTTTCATTTCCCTTTTTTTTTCATTTTAAAATAAAACGACTGTAAATTCTCAGTACAAAGTTTATATTTTTATGTTCGCCAGCTAATTGAAGATAAAATTATTTGACAGCTAAACATTTTGCAATTTATTGCTCTTTGCATAAAATCGCTCCTTGCATATTTTTAAGGATGCCCCATCAAGATTGATCAAAAGTTATGAAAACATACTGTTGTAGCATTATCTGTCCAAAAATAAGATTAAGAAACTTGTAAATTTCCAAGAGAAATTTTCAACTGCTAGTGTGTGAGTTAGGAAACCCTTTTTGTTCTTTTTTACATATAAGTGCAACCTCGTATTTCAACAAGTTTTTTATGTTGAATATTTTGCTGTTTATTTTGTATTAAGCATCGATACAAGTGTATTTTTGAATTGAACAAAATTTTGATGCCAATAATTTTTTTAACTTCTTTTTACGGGTAAATTTTACTTCAAAAGAACAAAAAAGATTTCTTAACAGGTAGATTTTTACAATGGGCCTGTTGCAAACTTCTGCTAGAGCAAAAATAAGAGTTGTTTCTATCAGTAAATGTCTCGCAAATGATCAGGAGCGCATTGGCAAAGTTTGAAGTGCACTCCTAACTTCACAATTTGCGTAAGAAATTTGCATTTTTTTGAGCTTCCCGCTTCAAAAACGATACATACGGCATAGGCGAATATTTCGTGAGAGGTGTCGTTATATCCAACCCCTCTTAACCAGGATACTATATAATATTCAACTTGGCCAACACCAATTTGCCAAAACACATGTGCCTGGACGAGATTCTAACCATTTGTTAACAATCTAGCAAGTTTAAATTCACGACTCCTTCGCGTTAATAAAGATCCGCTTTGGTTGACCTTGTGCTCCCGATTGAAATTTGCGCGCAGAAGCATTAGCTATGTTGGGTATTGCAAAAGGGTTGGGTGGAATGACTTCTGTAACGAAATGTTCACCTGTGCAGTAGTATCGTTTTTGAAGCGGTTAGCTCAAAAAAACTCAAATTTTTTACACAGATTGTGAAGTTGGGAGTGCATTTCAAACTTTGCCAATGCGCTCATCATGATTTTTGAGACATTTACTGATAGGAACAACTCGTTTTTTTGCTCTGGCAAAAGTTTGCAGCAGGCCCATTCTTTTACTCTTTTTGGAGTCCAAATGGGTTAGTGCCACCGACTGAGGGACATCCGCTTTATTTTATTTCATTTTCAGAGTGTCCAAAGTGAACTTAGATACCAGAAACTTATTATGATTTTTTAACGCTAAATGGCGACGAAAACCCATTTTGAAAATGCCAGTAATGGGGTTCATTTGAACCAATACTTTGACGGGCGCTTATGATGTAGCCAGGCGGAAGAATCAGAGTTTGCTAATTAACTGAACTCAGCCTCAGGCACCGTATTGCTATGTCAGCTGGACGAATTTTAATCTGTCCGGTTTGACCTCCTCTTTCTCCCCTTAGAAATGTTTTTTTGGACTTTTCAATGAATTTTTTGGTTTTTCCACAAAATTTCTGTAGGTAACTGCATTATAATCTTGCTAAAATTCCTTGCCACTGCCCCACTCAGCAGTCAACGCCACCAAGGCAGTGTTTGGACACTCCTCTCGATAATGCTTACAGCATCTGCCAAGAATAACAATTTTTCTAATACAATCTTGATTGGGCAGCCATCCTTTAAAAAATTTTTTCTAACATTTGTCTCCACAAATTTTACCAACTTAAAAATGTGCTTCAAGGCATTTAATTTCATCTTTTGCTTCTATATCTTTCAATTATCTGTAGTATTCGTTTTTTTCCTAAGCCGATTCTTGAGGAAGAAGAATGATGTAATGACAGGGTTGCCACAGTCAGGGAAACGTGGAAATGTCAGGAAAAAATTGTCAACTAAGTTTTCTTTTTTTACTTTTTAGAGCATAAATTGACGTGTCTTACAACAAATTTTGCCTAAAAACTACATACATTACATATGTCTTTTAACCATCTGACATATCTTCAATTGTCAGGGAATTTCAGCAAAATGTGTTGGGGAAATTAGGAAAATGTCTGGGGATTTCATTTTCTAAATTCTGTGGCAACCCTGTAGTGAATATCTTGTAAGATAGATAAGATCTTGGCTTTGGGCTTTTCAAATAACCTATTCACCGTTAAAATTTTCAAAATATGCGATATGTCCAGGTCAACACCACTGAACTGTGTAGTTGACACTGTGGTGCAACGTCCAGGGCCATAATCTGAGCACCCTAACAGCATAAATTCTAGAAAATCAGGAACATTTGGAAAAGGGGGGGGGGAGGAGGCTCTGGGCTGCAGGTTAGTGCAGAGAGTAGACTTAACACACAGTCCAGATGGTCTAAGGTGTTTTCTCTTCTCAACCGAAAATATATACAACTCAATGAGAAGGACCAGTAGACAGTAACCTGTCACTGGAAGTAGAGATCTAAAAATTAGGTGAGCTTTCAATCATTTTTGTACCCTTCTTTTTCTACCATCCTCCTATTATGCTCATCGTGAAGATCCTTTAAGTTTTTCCCCAAACAATGATTTTTGTTTCCTCGATTGTCGAATGAATCTTGCCTTTTGAGTAATGAATTTTAGTAGGACTGTCTTTTGCTAAATTATCTGCACAAAGAAGCTGGCAGTAGAAGGCACTTGCTTTTTCAGAGTATTAAAAGTTTAAAAGTATTCAGTTCAAGTTTTAAAGTATTTAAGTTTTCAAAGTTTTTGAAAGTAAATTACTGCCTGGAATATCGTACTCGCACCCTTTTGCTGCAAAGGATGAAGTTGATCTAGTAATTTATGGATACTTTCTCCCCTGATATTCAAGGTCACTCCAGGTAAACAAACTTTGTAAGGATTCTGACGGATGAGTCTTCGTTGTCATGGCAACCAGCATAAATACCTATCTCATTCACCTCTGTACCCTAAGTCCATTCACCTCTCAAACTCATGTGGAGTATTATCTGTGAACTGCAAATTTTTATTTTTTTGTGTAATTGGTGCCAGAGGTATTCTACTTGATTTGTTAGCTGCTCGGTTTCAACTTCGCGCTGCCCTGTCTTTGGCACCCCTAAAGCTGCCAATGAGATTACTATTCAAGAGTATCTTGACATTACACCACGCATCAGAGAATGATAATGTCGAGCAGTTTTGTGAAAAGTAGTGTCTGTAATGTCGATTTGCATATTGTTCAGAAGTATGATTTGAAGCGTCGAATTGGCAAAGGGGTGAGTCTTCCAAATTGAATTTTTGGTTTACCTTAAGAGAGCAAGAGCACCAGAATATATGAAGAAAAAATGATTATCCTAAGAAGATCTATAATAACATTTTTTTATGACATCTTTGTTCGAACTCATGTCTGGAGGCCAAGAAAGAATATCATCACATGATGAGAATAGATGGAAGAAGAAAAAATTCCAAGTAAGCCATTTATCAGTTAAAAAATAAGTCAAAATTTTATGACATCAGAAATTATACATCATGTCTAATCATATCCTTTTAATGCTAATTTTCTCATCTTCCAGGCCTATGGTATCGTCTGGAAGGCTTTTGAAAGAAAGAATAAAACACCAGTTGCTGTTAAGAAAATTTATGATGCCTTTAGAAATCCGACTGATGCTCAAAGAACCTTTCGTGAAATTGCTTATCTCCAGGAATTCCGTAATCATCCCAATATTGTGAAACTATTAAATGTTCATCGGGCCAACAACAATACAGACATTTATCTGGTATTCGAATATGTTGGTGAGTAAAAGCTACCAAAATTCAAATAAGCCTCATTAAAGTCTTAGTATCTATAACTTAAATTTTATAAATAGTATCCATATATTCAGCCATGCAAGGGAGACCTTGATTTAAGCATTAAATTTTCGAACTTCTCTTTCGTAAGCTTGCTGAAAGTTTGTTCAAGTTTTATCTGATCTTGGCAAAATTTATCATAATTTTCAATAACATTTATTTGTTATTAAATTCAAGCCTATAGGTAATTAATGGAAGAGTTTGCCCATAGAAAGGCATATTGTAAAATTTATCTTCGTTTTGAAAATCAATAATACAGTTTCTATGTGTCTATGATGATTCGATACACGTGATATGCACGGAATTAGAGGCCAAAATGTTCAAAGCCGCTTTCTCTAAGCATCAAACATATTTTGCTCAAAATAAAAATTTTTCAATCATGCCCTTCTAGGGTCGAACCCCTCAACTAAGGAAAATTCTTCAATCAGCCCGTATCAGCTGTCTTAAGGACTTGGATTGCTCATAATTTCAATTTCCATAAGATAGAGCAGTAAATGGAATATAAACCTGTAGTGTTCCTCCAAACAAAACATTGTTTATTGTTTTTAATTTCTTTGAGAAAAATAATGATTTTTTTTTCCTGCTTAGGTGGATCTTCAGCACTTTGAAGATCCATTAATAATTTCTGGATTTCAGAAAGTGTTTTCAAATATCCAAGCATTGCACCATGCTGATAGATATTAGCACACAAGATCAGACTCAGGAACGTTTTGAAATAGCTTTTTAAAAGTACGTCTCGAGTGAATATTGCAAATCGAATGGCTAGAAAATTTCTGATCCCCATTCTGGTCATACTTAGTGAGTTATTTCAAAGTGTTTCTCCATCAAATCTCGTGTACAAATATCTGACGCACTACGGCATGATGTGATATTTAGAGATTACTGAAGAAATTTCCTAAAATTCAGAAATTATCAATTGAGGAGGGTTCCGGAAAAAGGGCCCATACCGAAAAATCGCGTTGTGAGAAAAACGTCATTAAAGTTTTCAATACTGTGTTTTGACCGCGAAGAGACGTCAAAATTCAAAATGAATGTTTCATACAAGGATTCATACATCCTAGAATGAAATCAGAGATTGGCAAAAGTTGCAAATCGTAATTGGACTGCGAGAGGAATTTTTAAAAAAATTCGATTATGGGCCCTTTTTCCGGAGATCCACTGACGGTAATCGGTTCTTGTGACTAAACTAGTTAAAAGAACAATTGAAACCAAAAGAAAAAGTATTATCTCTTCTAAATAACATAAAATAAATAAATGACATCTTTGGTGGTCTGAAAACTGAAGCACTTTCCACCACAACATTCTGTCATTGACTTGAAAATTTTCCCCGAGACGGTTTTACCGAATAAAGTTTGGTAGACGTGACCATGCAGTCTTTTTAATTTGGCAGATGCCTTTACTCTGTTTGTTTTTTACCTGTTACCTGTGTTTACCTGTTTATTTTTTTACTTTTATGACGCTTTAATCTATCATTATTTACAATGTTACTACCACTCTCGGACATTGCGAAAATATCATCAACGAATATAGACGAACAACACGAACTAACTTCGCGAAAAAGAAAGAGAAATCCTCTGACTCACACTAATATTATTAATATTATTCTGCGTGTTATTATTTGTAGGTGCCACTGTTGACATCTTGATTAAAACGGAAATCTGCATTTACTGATTGCAGCTAGTGATCAGTGCATTCGATGTACAAAGAGGGGCTGTTATCAGTCGGATCGCTATCTGCTGGCCGGGGCCGCTCGGGTCTCGCGTCATCTTCTAGATCACGATGATACCCCGCTCATAGAGGTATTCAGTGGAAATCCCACGCCCGGAAAAATGGTCGTGTGGCTTTAAAAATTGGCAAATCGATACGAAACTTTAGGCACATATACTTTAGGGTACGGGCAATCCATTAATGCGTTCTCCGGAAAAAGGGCCCATACGCCCATGGGCCTTTTTTCCGGAACCCTCCTCAATTGCACTTATCAAATTGTTCTCTGAGGTACTGAAGATTCTTCTGAAACGGAAATTCTGTTAGGCACCTCAGAATTCTAATTGCTCAATTCTAATTATCTGTTTTGTTTCAATATCTTGAATCTCTCTCTTTATCCATCCTTCATTCAAGGTTGAGGTCATCTCAAAATAACAGTTGTTTTATTTGCAGAGACTGACCTTCACAAGTGCATAAAACGTGAAAAAATATTGCAAGACATCCACAAACGGTTTATCATCTATCAGCTGCTGAAGGCGTTAAAATATATCCACTCAGGAAATGTAATTCATCGAGACCTCAAGGTGAATGTCTCATAGTTCTTATTTCCTGTCATTATCTTGGTATCGTTGAGGGGAAATGTTGTTTCCCTTCTATTACACCTCTAAAACTTTTTTTGTTTATCTCTACTCAAAAACTGGCAAAAAGAGCGATTAGTTCTCATTCTTTCCAGATACAGCTAGCAGAGCTCGCTTTTTCATGTTTTGAACACTATCAACAGGTGCCATTCAACCAAGAGAGGTAGGAAATTATTTTATCCTCTGTTGCTTCCAGGGGAGCAAAAAAATTTAATGAGAACCTGGAGGGTGTTAGCAACATCAACATTGAAACTGCATGAAAGTGTATCCCAGTTTGCGATGTTGCAGACTTCCAGCCATACTTTATTTCTTAAATGGGAAAATATTCACTATCACTTCTTGAAAACTTCTCTAATTATGCTTCTCCGTGAGGAGAATAATCTGCAAAAATTTCAAGCAATAGGGTTGGTTTATTCTCCTGTGATAAAATAAAATCTGAATGAAGATATTTTGAGACATGGCAAAAAATATACGCGTTCCTGCAGTTTTACTGGCGATATGTTATTTAGAATGCATCATGCATAATTGATCAACTTGATTTGGGACTCATTCAAAACGTGAAGTTAGGAAAATGCGTTTTAATGTCATGAAAAGATTCTGCATTAATGCTGCAAAAGTTTATCTTTTAGATAGCATCGCGTTATTTGCCTGGTTCCTGGTAGATGGCTAATCAAATCATATCATCCTGAAATAAAAAATAATTATTCTTTTTGTATTGCTGTAAATTGATATTTTTAACTTTCCTTATTTTCAGCCACCGAATATTTTGATAAACAGTCAGTGCCATTGCAAAATCGCTGATTTTGGTCTTGCCAGGTCAGTGGCGCCTAATCAAAATGAGGATGAACCTGTGCTGAAAGCCATGCTAACAGATTACATAGCAACTCGGTGGTATCGTGCACCAGAAGTTTTGGCCGCCTCAAAGACGTAAGTTTTAAGCTTGTAACCTCTTGATTATTTAATATAAGGCCTAAAAGGCTCCACAGTAAACAGTGTAAGTAAGCCAATTTAGCTTAATTTCGTCGGTATTGAGATTTTTAGTACTACTATGTTGATTAACCTCTTTTTCTATTGTTCACTTGAACTGATGAAAATCTTTTAAATTTGTTGTCACCAATCTCTGTAATGTCAATTTTTTTTTATTTCCTGTTGTAATTCCATCATTTATCACTTTATTACTTCATTATACCAGAGCTACTTATCCCTGACTGTTTGCCGAAAAAACGGGCTAGAAGAGTAAAAATTCAGGTGTTGGTACCACAAATTAGTGGTAGTAATTCATAATGAAGTACAGTACTCTCCATACTATGATTCAGCAACGGATTTCACAATTTTTTGTTGTAGAGAAGTTTTTATCACAACTATCTGCGCTCAATAGAATTACTGAGGCATGGGGACTGGAAAATTCCTTCATGATGAAGATGTTTTTTTTCTAAGGTTGTTATTATAAAGTAAGAGAAAATTTTAAGCTTACAGCTCAAAATGCCAGTAAAATTCTCTTTTGCCAAGTCTACGACTCGAAAATGTTTGATCATTTTTGCAAACTGTACAGTATACCCCTCTTTTGCACAAAAATCAAGTAAATTTGACTAACAACTCGTCGTTATTTGATACAAGAGCACATTTTTCACCAAATTTCGTATGTAAACTCGATCAAAATCGTTTTCCTGTACAATATTGTCACTGCACTATTCTTGTTTAGTCCCTCTTTCTTTGAACTGTTTATGATGATATCTCAGGGTCGTTTGCCTCGCTGGAAGTAGAAACTGTTCCAATAACTCATTCTCTTTAAATATTTTCTTTCAACTATGAAGTGGAAATAAAGCAGTTTTATTTGTCATCAGTTACAGCAAAAGTATTGACATGTGGAGTGTTGGCTGCATTCTAGGAGAAATGCTTCTTGGCAAGCCCTTGTTTCCTGGATCTTCAACTGTGAATCAACTAGAACTTATCATCAACACTCTGGGACCTGTCTCACCCAACGGTTTGTAAATCTACAGTCTAATTTTTTTCCCATTTATTTTAATAGCAGAGCATCAGACAAGATGATAGCTGAAGCGTTCTTTTTTTTCTCTCCCAAATTCTATGTCAAAATATGATGGAATTTAAAAAATCAACATATTAAGGAGATATAGCGTATAAAATACAGAAGTAACAGGAAATGTATCAAAATAAAGAATATTATGAGTGGCGGTAGCCACATCCAGGTAAGTCACCTACCCTACAACAATTGGCAACACAACACAGCTCGGTTTCCTAGCTACCTTCGCTGGTAAAACAGTAACCGGATCCGGTCACTGTTTTACCAGTGTTTCAACAAAGCTGATAGGCTTTGCAGAAATTACCAAGTTAGAATTCTTTTAACCAAATTTTGATGAGGCAGAGTTGCCAAGACCAGTAAAATATTATGAAGCTTTTGAACCGAATTGCTTTAGTATTGATTTGATTCTAAAGCAGAAAACTCCCGAGGATGTAGATATGGAACAAACTCGGGTCAGAAGGCACAAATGATTTCAAATCTTATTTTATGTTTAAGGATGTTTCCTTCTCAAAAATGATTTGATTTTTTTTTCTAGATTGTTCAATTTTAGATCACAGGGGAGAAAGGAATCAATATTCATTGCTGTATTTTCTAGATTTTGAATTTGCAGCATTAAGGTTCCTTTTCCCATGAATTCTCACACTATCATTGCTTTATTGATCAATAATGTGTTAAAATGAAAGTTACTTTACTTTCCAGATGTGGATAGCGTTTGTTCTGGATACGGAAGCTCTCTTTTGAAGCAGGCTCCACCCCCCTCCAAAGTTACTTCTCTGTCAAGTTTGCTCCCGACTGTCTCAGCTGATGCTTTAGATTTACTCAATCGCTTTCTAACCCTTAATCCAAACCATCGAATTACTGCTGCTGATGCTTTAGAGCATAGCTATGTCCAAATGTGAGTTTAGAAAATGTGTTTTCTAATGAAACTTGCAATCAACAGTTTCAAAGCTCAAACTTTTACTGTTTTTTTACATGGTATTAGTCAAAATGTGGTTGTGTAATATCAAAGTAAAATAGTTAGACGCGGCTAACATCTGAAGAACACTGGAAACTGAACATTTGAAGGATATTCTTGGTTCATTTTTGTAGTTGGAGGTATCAATTTCAAAAAGAAAAAAAAGAAGTCGACGGTGAAACTCCCAAACCTATCTTGTTTGGGGTGTTTTAAAATCTCCCCTTCCATTTTATTTTTTTGAAAGGAAACAAATGAAAATCATTTTTTGAAGTTTTCACAGAATTTCCATCCCAAACAGAAGAAAAATCAAGGAAGTTTTGAAGAATTGACTTTGAGTAGTTTTCCGTTTGAAAAATAAAGTATGTCTGCAACGTCCCAAACTGAGATACATGGTTTGGGAATCTCACCAACGAAATGTTGACCTATTGAATGGATTAAGGCAAGATGCACTCCACAGAGAAAACTCTGATTGTTCAGTGCATTGAAGAAACTGGTTTTATCGATAAATACAGTAATAACATTAAACTTAAAGGTTTCGATTTTTTTTCAATGGAAACGTCGGCTTTTAGTTTTTATTGCTTTCTAATACGCTCAAGTACTTTTGGTAATAATTCAGGGCATATCTTGCACAAATAGTGATGTTAAAAGCGTTTTAAATGAGTCATTTCTAAAGAAGATACTTGCCTTAGCAAAGTACAACCGTATTTTTTACAAATCTCTGATTGATCGTTTTCTTAATTTAAAATTTCTTAACAAGGCAATTTTTGGATGCTTGTTGCGTCTTACGATACACAATTAACCACTCCAAACTGTGGTGTATCGATGGTGAAACTTCTAAACTATGTCTCTCGTTCTGCAACGTTTCAGACTTCTTGTCACATTTTATTTTTTATATGGTAAACTACTCAATGTTAATTCTCAAAAATTTCTTTGATTTTCCTTCTTTGTGAGAAGTAAATTCTGGGAAAACTTCAAGGAATGGTGCTGATTCGTTCACTTTTGAAAAAATAAAATAGGAGCGGAGATTTTTAAACACTGCAAACGAGAGATGTGGTTTGGGAGTTTCTCTGTCGGTATGTATCTTATTTTTTCACCTTAAGAACCATTCTGCTTGACCTTATCATACATCATATTAATATTTAAAGAAAATTTTTGTTTGTACCTAAAACTCATCATTTTATGCACAATTCTATGCACAGTTTGAAAATATGTGTTCAATTTAAAAGAAGTACAAGGAGATTTTGACAGTGCTTAAAATTGGTGTTTCTGGGAATTGCTCTTGATGAATGAATCATTTTTCTGATTATGAGAGCAGGTTTTCCGAGCCGCTTGGAGAGACTTCTCTAGGCCATTCTGTAATCCTGCCTGTCAGAGATGATGTCCGCCTCTCAATCGACTATTACCGCAACAAAATCAATGATGCCATCTCGCAAAATGAGGAACGCCAGGCACGCAAAATCAGGTCTTGCAGCTCGGATCCTTGTGTGTAAGCATTCCCTGCGTTTACAATCATAAGACTTATCAAATAAAAATCAATCAATAGACAATAGAGTGACTACAATTTAAACTCCAACTATCGCAAGATAATAGCTCATATTAAGTCGAAATCGAATGGTGGAAACTTTTAACTTTAAACCAATACCCTAAACTGAAGTAAGACATTTTGTTCCATGAAATCTTTTTGTTAAAGCCATTTTAAGGGAATACATTTTCAGTGAGTCCCTTGAAAACCCTCATGTTTTCAGTTTTTACTTTTTATGTCACCAGAAATAAATCGATAAAATGCATGAAAATACCTTTCTGTCCCAAATTTTAAGTAACTTTTTGAATAACTATGGCCAAAGTTCAATTTTTTTTTTTGTTGAAACTTTTGAGAGGCCACATACTCTCATAAAATTATTCAAACATAAGAATGTCATCATAGAAATTAGTCTTATTTCAGGCCGAAGAATTGATCCCCAATGATCCCGCCTAATGGCGTTGACATCGATTTGAGACATCCCATATATGTACAAGTAATTTATTTATGTAGCGACTTACTGTAGCTGTTTATTTTTATTAACAAAGATTTTTTTTGCAATAAAAATTTTTCGTAATTGATTTGAATGATACAGAAATGAACTTATTAAATTTAATGTAATCAAATTTATTTTTTTTATAATTTACTGATTACATTTTTCTTTTATTAAAATTTTAGAAATTTCGAAAAGTTAGATCAGTAGGTGTTCTCATAAAAAAAAAAGTAATCAATGCTTTTCTTTCATCTTAAAAATATTATGTAGTGCCACATGTTAATTTCACGAAAATTTTGTCCTCGGACCATTGTAGTTCCATGTTTATGTAACCTTAGTTATTTTTGCTGTGTGAAACAAGAAAATCCAGGAAGCTAGCATTGTACAAGATAAAAATAGAATAAATTTGTATTATTTTAACTGTGCATTATTTTTCCAGTAACAAGAAATCTTTAGAGCCTCTGCTTTCCAATGTGTATTCAACTATGCAATATGAAAACGCAACAAGTCACAAATCTACCAGCAAGAAACGGCAAGCTGGCTACTTACATTGCTTAACCAACAATTTAACTGCTGCAGACATTCAGCCATTGAAACATCCAGCAACGCACCCTCCACATAGGACCTCAAAACTTGGTAAGTTTTTCTTATTAATAGCTCCTTAGCATTTATGTCAGAGTATTATTTCAATTATTATTTTTCATGTCATATTTTAATGAATGGAATCACGATCTGAAAGGATTTAACTGGGCACCAATAAGTCCTTTTTTGCTTTTACTGCTGTAAAAAATGACAAGGAATTTGGACGGTTAAATTCAGTTGCCGCCCTGTCACATAGTTTAAATGGAAGTTGCGATTTGGAAAAAGTGTAATTCTTGAATATGGAATTTGAGGATTTTTTTTCATTACGATGTAGAAGATTTTATCAACATTTTGAATTCATTAAATATAGTAAAATACTTAGAAAAAAGTCTTCTTTAACTTATGGAACTTTAGTTTTTTTTGGATTGGGGGGGGGGGGGGGTCCCAAAACCAAATTTAAGCTTTTTTAATCAATTTAAAATTTCAAGCTCCCATCTCCGCCAAACCTCATCTGTAACTTTTGAAATTGTATAAACTGATTTTTTGAATAACTAACTGTTTGACACTAAAAGAAAATCGCTAGAATTTTGTTCAATTAGGTCATTTATATTGAAAAGAACCTTCATTTTACTCTGATGCTTGTCTCAGGTCATTTGAAACATTCTAGTGATGGAGAAGCAAGTCTAAAGTCGTTGAAATCAAAATCATTACCTCCTCCAACTGATTCAATTTTACCTGCCATGGAACGGACTCCAAACCAAGCTGCATTTTTGAAAAACTTAGGCAAAACTTACCTAACATCAATTCAAGAATATGCCTCAATGACGGGAATATCTCAGGCGGTTAGTCGGTGTCTCTCATCATTTTCAATATTTTGTAGTACATCCAAGCATAAGTTGCAAGCAATTTAGCTCTTCTAGTGCTCTTAGCTACACTTTCTGCTCATCATATTTAAAAACAAACGAGAAGGTCTAGAAAAGTCGTTCACATAAATTAGGGTAGTTTTTTATTCTAAAGAAACAGAAATAAGAAATCACAATGCAAGCTTATTTTGGAATATATGATTATTTTGAATTTTTAAATTCCCAGACTGATTATTGATACATCGGTGGCCAAAGTGCAAAACCACTTATCTACACTGTTGGTTTTCATAATTATTGCTCCTATTTTATCTTTTTGAAGAGAAACAAGCCAATTTTATAGTTAGGAATTGACATGTACAGACTATTTTGCTAATATAGAAGGAAAATCAAGGAAGTTTTCAACAAATTACGGCACCTAGTTTAAAAAAAAATGAAGTACTACAAGAAATCTGCAACGTCGCAAATGGAGATACATGGTTTCACACTTTGGCCATCGACGTATTATCTGATTTGCTTCATTGGTTTCCTTCTCATCTTTGTACAATTTATCTTTCTATGTCTTTTCAGGCCCTAGCAAAGAGTGAAAACAAGTTGAATGAAAAACTGCTGCTTCCGAAAACAAAGTCATTGAGTCGAGCCAAGTCTTTATGCCCTGTGTATAGGCATCCGCTAGAGGGTAAAAAAAGTAACGTTGATGAGAATGTAGCAGCTGATAGAAGTCAGATTAAATCATGTAATTTTAAGCGAGGGGTTCATGTAACTTCACTCCAGAAGAACATATCATCTTTACCAGTTCAAGTTTCCAGGAAAAAAATGTCCTCAACTGTTCTGTATCCGTACCTGAACCCTGCAGTCACTAGTTTCAAGTTACCGGCTGATATACAGAACTACAACCTTTTGCTCAGTAAAAATGGAGGTTGAAGATTTTTTCCCTCCAGATTTATCGGAAGTATTCTAACATATCACGTTCTTCAAAGTCTTTTTTACATGATTCCCATTGTAATATCCTCAATTTTTCATTTTTATATTTTTCTATCATTATTTTTTGATGCCTTTTAAATTTAATGAACAGAACTCTTTTTCCCCATCTAGTGAAATTGTATTTCCACAAAATTCCATAAAAGTTTTTTATGTCTTGTCATCAAGGTGGGGACTTTTTTTGCATCAACTATTGAATCCTTTTGATTCTTAAGTTAAAGAATTAGGTACCTTTTTGAGGTTTTTTTTCAATAATCACTTTAACTACAACTGAAATTGTTTAGACTCCGTCAATGAAGTCTTTTTGAGTAAGTATATTTCTCCTCCTTTTTTCATTACTTCTTAAACTCAAGATGCTTAACAGCAATGTTTATCGTATATAATCTCAACTGGAACCGACTTAACTGCTCCAGATTGTTGCCTAATTTCTTTTCATGTTTTCTTTTTCTGGTAGGAAACCGAGAAAATCTCACTTGAAATTCTATGAGTAGGTATTTATTACAGAATACCTTCATAGTAAAAGAATGGACACTAGGTTACATGGAGCTCTTGGGATCCAAAAAAATGGCCGCAACTCTGGGATAGGAGAAGAAAAATGAGAGAAAATTAGGCAGCATGAAATGTAGTCAGGCATCTTCTGTTTGTTCCAATTTTAGAATGAGTATTTCAGGCATTCTTGCAACTCCTTTTTAAAATAAAATAGCATTTTTGTACTTTTAATATTGTAACTTTTCATAACACCTATACATATCGCTCCCTAAAACTAAGATAAATTTTCCAGATAGCTTTTCTGGAAATAAAATTCCTGCAAAATGAACTTATCCATTCAAAGGCAGCTGAAACGTCTCCGAAAGATCCTTCAGTGCCAAACCTATGAGGCTAAGGGCTATGCCCAGTTGGTTCTAGCATGTCGTATCATCCCTTATACGAAGTGGATTAGGTTTAGCTGGTTGGCTTGCCTTTTCAGCCTCTTCCTTTCACATTTGCACAACATACGACAAACTGGTTATGCCTAGTACTTGTTTGATTTTTGACAGACCAGTAAAATTGCATGCGAAATGTGCCATCCACAAATTATTTCCTTTTTATACTCTAAAGGTCGGATAGCAGAATAATATTAACCAATGCATAAACTGCACTTCGCGATATTATTATCTTGAAAATAATGCCATTTTTCACTCATTTTTTTGAAGAAAAAAAAGCTCACAGCTTCGAACAGGGCAACATTATTTTGTGAAAGATCCATTATGTTGAAAAAACCCTGAAGTTTTAAATATCCAGGGTGGGCTGCCATTAAAAAAATTAATGAAGAGGCTCTCCAAGCAAAGAGCCTGTAGCAAACTTTTGCTAGAGCAAAAATAAGAGTTGTTCTCTATAGATAATGTCTTAAAACACTACAATGAGTGCATTGGCAAACTCTGAAATACACTCCTTACTTTACAATCTGCGTAAAAATGTTGCGTTTTTTTAAGCTTCTCGCTTCAAAAAGGATACTGCAGCACAGGTGAACATTTCATTAGAGGAGTTGTTCCATTCAATCCTTGCTCAACATGGCCAACGCTTCCGCGCGCAAATTGAGGAGAGCACAAGGTCAATCAAGGTAGATATCTATCAATGCGAGAAAAATGTGAATGTTAACACGCTGATTGTTATCAGGTGGTTAGAATCATCTTCCCGTCACATGTGTTTTGGTGGATTGGCGCCGGCTATGTTGAATACTGCGTAGTATCCTTGTGAGCAGAATGTTCACCTGTGCCGTGGTAATATTTGTGATGCGGGAAGCTCGAAAAAACGCAAATTTCTTACACAAATTGTGAAGTAAGGAGTGCATTTTACACTTTGCCGATGCGCTCATTGTGATTTTTGAGACGCTTTCAATGAATGACACATCTCATTTATGCTCTTGCAAAAGTTAGCAACAGGCCCATTTAGAAAAGAAAATCTGAAAACGAGAGGTTGAGAGGAAAGTTTTCAACCGCACACCTAAGCTGTGTACGCTTCAGTTCAAATTTAGTCTGAGGAACTTCTAATTAATTGTTTTGGTGAATGTCTTCTAGAGAACACTATTGGAAAAATAAAGACTACAAAACGAACAATTTTGAACTTTCTACATCCCTGGGATAACGAAAAAAGTACAAGACACAAAATTCTTCATTATCAGCATGATATAATTATATAATTACAAAGAATCACAAAAAACGATAAAATTAGGAGAAACTCTAAGGTCAAACTGAACTCAAATCCTCTCAGTTGATGAGGCTTTGAAGAGGCCAAATGGACGGATTGGACTTGAATAAGCCTGACAGCAATTCAATTTTTGTAATTTTCTCTGGTTTTTTTATTTTTTTTAACACAGAACTAGACTACTTAACGCATCTACACTTTCTGTGAATGTACCTTAGAAAATATAGAATATATTGACAAAATTCCAAGTTCCAGTGTTGCTCAGTTTACTGTTCAAAAAATAAAACATAGGAAAAATTAGAAATTGCCATAATTAGTTAGGCAGATTCAAATCGATCCGTCCATTTTTTTTTTTCAAGGAAGGAATATTGAGTTTAGTTTTAAACCTTGTTTAAGTTAAGGTACACAAACCTTTTAACTTGATATCACTGAATCTTCACTCAATTCAATCCCTGATAGATGAAATCAAAAACAACACTGACTGAAAAATAGTTATCAGGAGTTGATTGTCTATTCAATATATATATACAAGCATAAGATGAAAAAATGGAACACAAAATAAAAAAAAATCTCTCCATGACCTAAAAAGGAGTGAAGGGCGAGTCATTTCATCAAACTTGTATAGACCATCAAATAAGTGCCAAAAAATAAAAATTTGCCTTTGACAGAAAAAATATTTAAGATGATAACTCTAATGCCTAATTTTGGGTTCCTGACATCAAAGGCGTAAACAATAATTGAAAGTCAAAAAGTTTCAAGGAAAATCTGCTGCATAGAAATGACACTGTACAATAAGGCTGTTCTGTGCTGTTGAGATGTTAAAAGGTCACTTCGACTTATGGTTATCTTCACAAAAACCTAAACCTGGAGTAAAAAGTATTCTCATGATTTGGCAGCGTACTCTGACAAATTAGGAATATCTTCAGAGCGGCTCCATGTAATCTTTTACAGTCTTGACAAATTACTTTTTGGCTCTTACAGCATTGCATTATGAGATCACAGCCTTTCATAATTATCGCTGAAAAAATGCGCCACAAGATTAAGCTAAAGTAAGGGACAATCTGTTCTGTTGTATTTTACACTTAATACAGAAGTTTGTGCGAAGCTTTTGCAAAATGAGCCCACAGATTTAGAGCAATACAACCCTCTCTTCTTTCCCAACCACAGGACTAAGGAATCTAACATAGAGGAAAAAGTTGTTTTACCTTCCTGTTTTTTCTGCTCTGTTACGATACTACTCAGACAAAACTCCCATTTGCATACCGCGAACATGCCAATTCCAGGACTTATGTTTGAAATCTATACTGAAATGACTGCCTCACTAGACTGACTTCCATAAGAATTTATTTCCTAATTTTATGTCTGAACACTTGCATTTCCCTAAAAACTGTAGCTGTGAGAAAATTACACATGACTTGTTTCTTTGTTTACTGGTTCAGTTAATGGATTAGTTTAATAGTGAAAAGCCTGTGGGTTACATGATTATTTGACTGCCAAAAGGAAAACATAAAACGATTGGACGGAGTTCAATAGAAACGCATCAAGTTGCAAGTTGAGAAAAAATATTTTGAACATACAAATAGGTGTTATTTTTGTCCTTAACATTGAGTCTAAGCCAGAAAGGCTTCAATTATCCTCTTCTTGGTTCAAACTTATACGTTTGGACGTATTTCTGCCAAACGGAACTATGAGCAATACAACATTAGCCCTGAGACCCATAAAAATATAGGCATATCAGTGCTCATGTCATCATGCACATAGTTCTGTTTGGCAGAAATACGTCCATTTCTATTAAACTCGGTCTGGTTCAGACTGACATTTGGACGTGTTTCTGCCAAACAGAACTATGCGCATTAAGACATGAGCCCTGAGGCCCATTAGAATTTATGCATAAGACGGCTCACATCACAATGCACATAGTTCCGTTTGGCAGAAATGCGTCCATTTCCTTCTGCCAAAATTACTTTGGAATCATTGTTTTGAAGAGAGAAAAATGCACTTTGCTGACATGAAGGAGTCAATTCAGAAAAATTCATCCATTATTCTGTACTGATCAACTGTAAAATTCTGTCAGGAAGAATTAGAAACTGAATTTAAAGTGAACTCCTGAGACATTTCCTTATGAATGCCTTTTGTTCTACTGATACCAAAATTAAATGACGCTTCTGTAGACATTAAATGATTAGTTCTGCGGATTGTTAAAAAATAAAACTTAAAAATAGAAACAACAATAGGCGAAACCAGGGCTCGAGGAGTGTAAGGATGGGAAGACTTTCGGTCCGTACAAGTTACTTTTTTTCATTAGGCAATACACTGTTGCAAAATAGAGAGGCTAATAGTAAAACATCAGTCTTCCGGAGAAAAAAGGACTGACAGGTAAATTGAGCGGAAAAAGACCAAAGTGTTGCTGTTAATATCACACCTGAAAAAACAGACAAAGAGATATTGAACCGTATAAGGCAGAAAAAAACCAAGTCACATGAGCCATGCTGCCAAATTTCAACAAACGATTTATTATTATTATTTTTGTTTAAACAGAGGAACAGTAGGACTGATTGTTCGGAAAATTTCAGGGAATGTGCTTTGTGTTGGTGAGAAAAGCCCCTACAATTTTCATGAGAATCCACACAATCGTTCTCCTGTAAAAATAAATTGTCAAATGAAATTTGGCAAAGGCTAATGTGACTTGATTCCTGGGACTGTACTCATCGAAGTCAGCCAGCTTTGATCCAGACTGCCTAAATTTGTATGAGACCAGAAGAAAACTGCAAGACTTGGATATATATATATATATTTTTAAGGGTTCACTGAATCATTATAAATTAAGCTGATAAAATAAAGTGGATCAACGAGCCAATAAATTCTTCTCAAGAATAGAGGAGAAATTATGACATTTGGAAGCTTGAAAATCACCATTCAATGAGGAATGGCTTTCTAATTTTAATTTTGGGGGCTGCTGATTTCAATGAATTTCCTTATTGATAAATTTGCCCAGGATGAGCTGTTTGAAATTAGTTTTGGGAAGAACATGCTCTATATCCACTGTCATAGTTATATTACAAAATCTGGACCAAATGCACATTCACAGAGAGGGAAAATTTGGATCAAGCCATTCACTTGTACTTCTTGCAAGACAAGGCGAAAAAATCTTGGCATGTGAAGGTGCTATGGCAGACACTTTGAAGAATACAGTCTTAACATAGAGCCCTAGAGTCACATTAATTGATGAAGTGAATGACACAAAGACAACAAAACCTTGTTAATTGATGAAATCATTTATTTAAGACACCAAGTATCTGCTGGATTAATGATGCAATCATGCATGTCATAGATGACTGAAGTGCAAAAATGATTATACACAGCTAAAAAGCTTCCGTCATGAAAAAAAAAGCCTATCACTGACAATTACTTGGCAAAAAATATAACAGGAAACTTCCCTTATCTTAGGTGAATGCACAATTTCTAAAATGGAGGCAGAATTTTACATTTAATTCAATGGTGCAAACAGATACAGACAAATTGTGCACTTAGTTTATTTTTGAGCCGCTTATAACTAAGGGCGAATTAATGTCTGAGACAATTTTACAATTAATCAAATTTTCTGACTATGATACTCCGACAATCTTTTGATTGTTTCACAAGGCTGAAATTTTGGCTAATCTTCACAAGCGCAAATCAAAATGAAAAATGACGGGGAAGAAACTGGGAGAGGTTGAATCTCATTCACAGGAATCGCTCTTACAAAAGTAATTACAACTTCTTATTTTCTTGCATATGATGATAAAAAGCGGTTACTTTACTTTCTGTCAGCCAAGTCATCTCAAATTTTCAAGGTGAGGGGTTTTTGCTCTGCAACAGTTTTGAAGGTTGCCGTCATCAATAGGTGTACGTACGCAAAAAAAATGCAAAGCTGTGGTCTTTGAAATGCCCTGAACTTTCTTGAACAAGTAATACAGGCACTGATCTGTTTTTTTTTCTTCAATTTAATTCATTTTCTACAATTCCCTCCATGGTCCACAATTTAATTTTCCAGTAAGCTGGCCCATTATCCTTCAGACCAATCACAAAATGCTCTGACCGAATGCAATCTACCGACGCACAATGCGACAAATCCAAGAAAGACTGGGCGCATTCAAACCTACCCTGGTTGATTGCAACTAGCTCAGGCTAATCGTAATTGGCCAAAAATTGGGATTGGCTCGTGACATGTGCACTTGAAAAATTGAGAAGAGTGATTTTTCCACTTCAGCCAGCTATGATTTTAGCTGCCTAAACTCATAAGCAGCACTTTAGTAAAACAAATACAGAAATAGAAACTTTATTTGCTTTTACTCAAAATCAGGGTAAACTAAAAGTTATGCTAATGTCAAAGAAAGAAAAATATTATTACTTAGAGGAACTGAAACTCTAAAAATAATGAAAGAACCTTGAACAAGAGAAGAAATCTCTTTACAACTACAAATAAATATTGCTATCTTAAAATGTACTGACTGGCTTTTATTCGCTAGATAAACGCAAAACTTAGTTTATTCTCATTTCAGTTTCAGGTGTTGCATGTAGATGCTTGGTTTCTAAAATAGACGATTCATGTCAAGCAAAAAAAATGAACGTTTCCATCTTAATCAATTAGTAAGAATCTTACATTAGATGTTTCCAAATGGACTAAAATTTGAGGACAAAAATACACATTTGAGTCGCACAACAAAAAACAGGGTTTAAAGTGGTTAAAAGCTTTGAAAAAAGATTTCACTTCTTGCGTTTTGTTTTCTTACGACTGCGCGAATAATCTGCTCCATCTGGATTATTATAGAGACTATTTAGGAAATCTTCGAGATCGTGCTCCCTAGAAAAGATAAAAACAATTTCAAATTAATTGGAGCATTCAAAATTTTAAGTAGAAGAAACAAGTTATACTTTAATAATAAATGAGCGGCAGAAAATGGTTCAAACACCATGTTAGAGCATTGAACATGAATGAAAGCGGAGAAATAAGGGGGAACTTGAGTAAATTGCAGCTTTGCATTTTTTTTTACTTTTAATGAAGAGGAATACTTGAAAAAAAAAGTACCCTCTCTGGGGGAAAATTAAGTACTTTTATGTGTCAGTCACCAAAATTTTTAGATGTACCACTCATCAAATGACTGTCTTGATGAACTCCGCCCCTGATTTTTATTAACATGTAAAAAAAGCTGTTTGTTGCTTCCTTTTTTGGTAACAGATTCAATTTGTGCATAACACACAATAAATTCAATAATACAAACATTATTACATAAGGCCTTACCATCAATGACAAACAGGCTAAGTGATAGAAAATTGATATTTGGGGTTATTCAGATTTTTATTTCTGAAAACTACTGCAATACATACCATAAATGCTCTCTCTCACGAGTCATACACATTATTGGTTTTGTATAACCCATTATACAGCATGTAGTCCTGGATGCTTGGAAGGAAATGCCATGTCTAACACGATTTTCGATTTTTTGGCACTTAGTCAATTATTGATAATAAGTTTCCATACGTGTGTGTTCTGAATTTGAAAATTCCTTACTTTTCTGGACTTCTCGGATTCACAGAAATCCTGCTTGGCTAAACTCCAAGGAAAGATATTCCACAATAAAATCTAAATAAAATTTTAACACCCCTTGTTTTAACCCTTTCATTACTGAGCTAGATTCGGAATGCATGCTCCACAACAGGAATTTTCTGTGACACAAGCAAATTGGAGTGCACACTGTCAGAAAGTTGTAGTTTGGATCCTCCTTGACAGATGGAGCTACAAATGTGAGCACTTCAGAGTGGTGGTTGGTGAGTGATGGCAGAATCCTTAGGAGAAGGATACGAACCTAACCTAACGTTGGGGCTGTGCAAATGTGGTTTTTTTTAAGAGGAATCAAATCGAATATTTTGTAAAAAGTTTCGAATTCGAATCAAATTGAATATTTTTAGTTTTTACCCATTTTTGACCGAAACCAACCTCTGTGTTCGCCAAAATAAAAATCAAATAAATTATTTTTTACCTTCTAACATTCAAATTTTGAATAAAGAAATTACTATTATAGATAAAAAGATCAAGAATTAATCAATTCATTTAAGTATCAAATAGTTTTTCATACATTTTGATTTGCTGAGGAAAAAAAAGAGGGGATTAATGCTGATCTCACAAAGACAGACTAGCAACATTGTAAAGACTGGGGTGCCGCGCGGGGCGGCTGAGGATAGGTTATGGAGGTTAGTACATTTGCCCATTTGTACGCCATGTTGATGCCGTATTAGGTGGAACTCAAGTGGCCCGTTTCGTGCGAGTGCCATGCGCTAGAGAACCAATGAAACGTTGGCCTTCGTTTACCTAACCTCAAAAAAAGTAGTTTGGACTGCTTGCCAGATCGAGTTCCTACTAGTGCGCCATCAATATGGCCGGATGTACGTTATTTGGTCTTTTTTTTTTAGATTCGAAAATTTGTCGATGTGGTCGAATAATTCGATTATTCGAGGTTTCTAAGTTCGAGTTCGAATCGAATATAGGAAAAATTGTTTGAACTCGAATGTTCGAGATTTTCGAAAATTTGCACAGCTCTACCTAATGCTGAATGCAGATGCTGCGTTTGTGATAATGAAAGGTTCAAAGTAATTGCATAAATCAAAGAGACAGTTAGCGCTGATTACTAGGTGATGACTTACGAATTGGTGCGATTAGACTGATGATGGTGGTGGTGATGGTGGTGATGGTGATGGTGATGAGTATTCGGCACGTTTGTCTGTTGCTGCTGCTTCCCCACGACTATCCTGTACTGGACTGAGTGGCTATTTGCCTTGAGGTGGCGCAGGTTGTCGGCCTGACAAGCCGCCCACTCAGTAATGTTGTAAACACAGCCTTCCATACATGCAAAATAGTGCCACACCAATCCTAACAATTTGCTTTCCGCCCAAATGTCTCCCTGCAAAAGAAAAGATAACTGAATGAAGAAAAACATTTACGGTAGTCATGAAGTCAAGAATTATGGTGAATCTGCTAATGGTCCAAGATCTCTCACTGCGTGGATAATTTTAGGCCTTGTTCACACAGAAACAGTTTGGGGGAGCTTTTGGGCAAACTTGTTCTCAGAACTAATTAAAACTCAGCTTTAACTTATTCCGCAAAACCCCAGCTCCTTGAACTTATTCTCCCAAAATTTTTGCAAACTGCACCAGTGTAGACAAGGCCTTATAATTTACAATGGCAGATTCTCTGCTGATTTAAGGATCTGCAGAGACTCAACTAGAATCCTTGAGAAATCTAAGGACTCTCGCAGTGCTCTCTCCTGAAGAAGGTTAAGAACCTATCTTGGGGAGGAATTGAAGAATACTTTCAGTGCTTTTTGCCACCAATAACTGAACAATTCACTAGACGCTTACAAAATCGCTTTCTATCAATCTTTGTTTTCATCCCTCATTATCATGAGAACCCAGAGTTCTTTTGTTGCATAACACTCAGGATAACTACTTCAAAAGGTACTTACAAGACGAAAATTCTGGATCAATCAAGAGTACTATTCAAACTTTTTTGAAACTTTTCAAATTACTTGCAAATTTATGCTCTTCTATAAATCTTCTGGACAAAAGGACACTCTGAAACTACTCCTGCTACTTTCTGAGCTAAGAGAACAAGGAATTTGATTTTCCACACAGCCAACAGCTCTATCTTTTTCCGTGAAAAATTCACTCCAGAAACAAATCTTTCAGCTGCAAATATCTTACATTGGTAAAAACACCGTTAAAAAATGTCCTGTAACCAATGTAAACTAAAAACGTTCATATCTTAGTCAGGAAATGATGTAAGTAATTTTTGTTAGAGAAATCGTGTTCTACAGGAAATTTTGGTCAGGAAACATTTATCATAATGCTTGAATTCCCATCTTGCCTACTAGTCCTTTGCTGGCTAAGAGGAAAACATGGACCTTACCTCCCGTGCAGAATGGTAGATCTTGCACTGAGAGCAGAATCGAGCCGCATAGTGACGCCGGTCCACAAGCTGGCGACGATGCCGCTTCCCGCAATTGGTGCACCGAATTGTATTGGCTGCGTACTCCATTTTAGTGTGTAGCTGAGAGAGCAAGTCATTCATCTCGCTCCAGGCCTGCTCCACTTGTTCCGTTTCGGCCAAGCGCCGCTCGTACTGTGCACGTCGTTCCGGCTCACCGATTAGTTCAAAAGCATGCACAAGGATCTTGAAAGCTTCCTCTGCCCCTGGCTGGTTATTCTTGTCTGGATGCACTAGCACAGCCTGCCTCTTGTAATACTTCTTGATTTCTTCATCTGTACACTCATTTGTGACACCTAGTATACTGCAAATTGAAAATATATGATGACTGGAATTAAAATTTGATTGAAAAAACATCCATCAGCTGAGAAAAGACCAAATTAGAAACTGAGCATTTTCATTAATTCAATAATTTAACAGCAAACAGAAATATTACCTCCATCTCGAATTTTCTTGTTGAATTGAACCATTTGAATTTCATGGCACTTTAAAAGGGAGGCAAAATTCAAACGAGCCGAACCCTCACTGAGTCAAAAATGCGGAGCCTTTTGTTTTAAACTGAATTGACATGCTGTCTTATCTCCTCAGCTGGTGAGAAACAGAAAAGAGGAGAGAAGCTTGCTCCTCAATCACCTGAATTTCTTCACGAAATGATGGCTGCAAAACTACTAAAAATGGACTTTTCAGACCCAATTTTCTCAAGATAAGCACACAGAGGACTCTATTTTAAAATATCATCTTGCTCGGGAGATGGTGAGGAACATCATCTCGATGGCCAAAGTGCGGACCCACGTTTTTGCAATGTATTGCAATTTTCTCTTTCCGCTTCAATTTTATTTTTTTGAAGAGAAAGGACCAACTTTGTGACTTGAAATTTATAAAGAGAAAAAAGCGGGGGATTTTCGAGAAATTACGTCTTCTAGTTTTCCACAGAAAAAATAAAGTACGATAGGAAATCTGCAACACCGCAAACAAAGACACGTCGTATCACACTTTGGCCATCGATATGAAAAAATCTCAGAATTTTAACCAGTGCCAAATTTAATAGTATTTCAAGTGTAGTCTTTTGAGCATTACTTCAATTTTGCAGGCACTTTTATTAATTTGCAGATCTTGAAGTTGGCCAGCAAGACTACGGCGTTTTTCCTAAGATTCTGCAGGAGCACAGGAGAAGAAACTTTTCACCCAACAGAGAAGGTGTTGTGTTCCTTCATGTCCACTCGGATTCTTGGAAATTAGTTGGAAAAATGATAATATATCAGCTGAAAAACATACCTATAGGGATCTTTTCCTTTGCACGCAAGCAGTCTCTTCATTGCTTCGTCACCTGTTGCAGGAAGAGAAATGTTTGAAGATAAAGTTGATGTTCTTTTGCTGGAGCTCAAGATTTTTTCATGGGAGTCCTTTTCCTTTTTCTTATCTTTTTTCTTCCACCATCGCCAGTTCAAAACCATTGATTTAAGCTCTGTTTTTGCCTCTAATAACCATATACACATTAATTCCATCGACGTGACCATTCTACAAAAATAAAAAAGAAACAGTTCGTGAGACAAGTGAACCAAGAGATGATATCCTTTTACCAATTAAAAACTGTACATTTATTCATTGTATGACAAGGTCATTCCAAACAGGAGACACACTGCAAATAAAAGCTTCCAAAGAACCGTTTTAGAGTGCGCCATTTGGGATTCAAGTTAGCGTTAGATAAATAGGTAAAACGATTGTATTTTTTTCTCTTTTCCTGGTTAGCACAACAAAAATTGGACAGTTTAAAACTAAATGCACTTAACTGAATTTAGCATTTTCTTACTTCCTCCATTCATTTATTTTAAGGTAAGTGACCATTCACTCTACTTAGGATCGAGTACATTCTGCACAAATTGGATATGAGAGAGAAAATGAAAACTCACAGATGAAGCGTAAGTTGCCAGCTCATAACGACCACATCAGATAGGAGATGGAAGAACCAGGAACACAGGAACATAGCATACTTCTGCGACTGAGACTGCCAGTGATTCCAAAGTACATCTGAGTTAACATAGAATCAAACATGTTATATACCTTGGGAATAAATTTTAGGGTGACCAAGAAACTGCATTCTACAAAAACTCACAAGACAGAACATGGAAGACCTGGTGAGGAGCATTTAAATACATGTCCTTCTTAAAATCGTAAATATAAGGCTTCAAAAGCACAACTTCTTTTCAGGGCCTTTCAAAAAATACATAACGCTCTAGGAAGGAAGGAGTCTAAGCCTGATTTATGGATACGTTACCAGAGAGCAGTTAGGAATGCGATATGTAACGCTAATGTGCTGATTTTCAAAAAATCGAAGATGAGAATTCGACAAGAGGTGGCAATTTTTCATCTTCATTCGTCACAAAATGCCAATTGAAGGGGGAGGGATCATGAAAAAGAGGGTTACAATTTTTCTTTTTTTTTAGAGAGAAAGAGAGGGCATTTTTTTATTTATGCTACTGGTGCATTACAAAAGAGGGGAGAGAAAAACAAAATCAGATTCTCAACGTTAGGTTTTTTTTTTTTTTTGAAAAGCCCCTTCACAAAGAAAATATTTTGTAAGTTCAACCACAAAACTAGAAAGCACCACACAAAGATAGTATTTTAGGAGCCCTGAACACTTCAGTGATTGAAAATATCTGAGTTAAAATAAAAACTTTGCTCTACACTTCTGAGGATTTCGATTTCTAACGATACAAAATAACAGAGAAAAAAAGACTTACAAAAAGAGGCTGACTGTACATCCTTATTTTTCACAGTCCTTTGAGATTTCTTGGAGGATGTCTTGAACATACTTGAAGCAAGACGAGCGCTTCCTTTTGGTTTAGGTCCACTTCCAATTTCACTTTTGCCACCTAAAAAAGTTAGAGAATAAAAAAGAACTGAGACACTTACATGATGACAAACTGTACGATAATTGCAAAAATCTGGAATGTTTAAATTCTATTTGATTTAATTTCTGCAGGCTAAGCCAATACACAGATTATTCCTTTACAAAAGATTGCCCAAGAAAAAGGCATTCAGCAAAGCCTCTGCTATATTTTCACGCTTACATGTGAGTGTAAAATTGTTTTGAAAAATTTGGATGTGAGGATGACCTAGATAGACACTCCTACATTTCAGTGATTGAATTGAAGTTTTATCCTCGTAGAAAAATTACCACAAAATTTGGCAAGGCTACATCAGATTCTGCTCCTTATGACTGATAAACTACTACAATGAAAAAAGTTAATGCAACAACCTAATTGTGGTCCCTCTCTCGTAAAGAAAATAGTGAAGTAAGCTAGGAAAACCCCAAAAGAGGTACTTAGGGTACAAAAAGAGGAAAGAAAGATTGCAGTATCAAAAGCAAAGATTCGTTGGAAAAAAAGCTGGTCCACAAACCAAACCATTTCAAGGCTATCAATATGATTTTTAGGTTTATAAAACAAACCATGCACGGAACAAAACGATCTACTGTTGCCTGGTCATTGTAAACACGAAAAAGGTTCAAAACGAGGGCTTCTAACCAGGGACTAGTTTACACGCGTTAAACAGAATTGTGAGCACCGACTTAATCGTCGCAATGAATAACCATTGGCCCTGTGTCTAAGAAATAAAAAAAGAAGGTATTGCAACAAAAAATTACAACAAAATTCAGTTAAACCAATGGCATTAGGGGCTCAAAAATGACTTACCCCTAAAAATTTACTGGGTGTACTTCTGATTATAATTCACAAATCATAACCTATTTTTCTTAAGAACTGGGAGGGGTAGCTGACGCCAATGAGTAACTCTCTCTCATTTTCTTCCTGTTGTACAAAATTACAATATTTTGACAACAGTCCGGGAGCACTTGTCCATTTTTGGGGTCCCATGGGACCAATAGTGATACAAGACGGCGAGATGGCTCAATCTCTTCGTTTTGATGTCCTGAAACAGAATTTCGATGTTGCCAGGCTCAATTTTTCCCAGGACATCCTTCAATTCAAGATGGAGCCCAATATGACCGCCACGGGGGTGAAGTTGTAGAAACTGACTCCCATGGTCGACAGTAGATCGGTTCCTATTATTTTTAGTCAAAAATTTCAAATATATGCTTAAGAATGTACTTTGACCTCTTTGAGACCCTTAAATCCAAGATGGAGGCCAAAATTGTTGAAATTTTGTATTGAAATATTTTACATTTCATTCTCATATCATGTGACAAATCGAACCCTATGGATTTCTGGTCGTAGAATCCAAATCTTCAATTTAAAATTCACCCCAGCCCCTTGGAAAGTCCAAAATCCAAGATGGCCGCCGAAATGATCCCCTACAGGATCATACAGTCAGCCTTGACCTTAGAATAGCAAGATATGTGTCAATTTACAGGTTTATTGGGTCGCAGAATTCAGAATTGAAGGTTAAAATAACCTTTAAAACTGTCAAGAACAAAAGTCCAGTCTACTGCTAAATCAGAGTTAGCTATCAGTTGCAAGTCTAGTAATAAAAGTAACGGAGATGAACTGAATGAACTGAATGGACTTGAAACAGGACTTGGAAACGAAAAATGAGCTTTTGTGAGACTGAAAAATGGGACTTAGAAAGATATTGGAAGATGTTGACACAAAAGGAGAAAAGGTTTATAAAGTGACATGATACATACATCAAAGGTGTACATTTTCAGAAAAAAACGAAGCGAGCATAGATTTTTGCTGAGGACATATCATAAATAGAAAAAAGAGACATATTTCAGCACTTACTTTTTAAAGTGTGGTTATTTTAATACAACAGAAGCTTTTAAGGTATTCATAAGGTCTACATTTTCAAATTTCCATGGAACGAAAAACTTTGTGACTATATTATTAACGACTCCAGTAGTTATCAATTAGACTAAGCCTTTAATCTAAGAGTAGATAAGTACTAGTTTAGAGCAGCGATTGCATGGCGCAATAGTCGAGAATCCTGTATTTTATTTGTATTGATATAAATGAATAAATGAATTAAAAAACTCACCTCACCTAGCGAAAGCAATTTCGTTAATCATCAGCTTGTCCCTCTAAGAAATTTAACTACTCAGGGTAGATCATAGGTATATTTACAGTTGGTATATACATTGATACTTGAGCATATCTTACTTTAGCTACTATAATTATCGCTATGCAAGTGTTTTAGCTCCAGCTAAAGCAAAGGATGCTTCTCAGCCAGTTGTCAATTTTCAGATTCCTACTAATCAAAGTAATGTTTCCAATGAGCGCATCAAGACTCTTGAAGACTTAGTTTTGAAACAATCTGAACAGATTGAGCGTATGATGAAAGTCATAGAGACTTTTTTCCCTGCTCTTTTGCAGGGGGCTAGTTTCTCTGCACGGCAGTCAACTCTCTCTCTCTCTCTCTCTCTCTCTCTCTTCTTTCTCTTACTGTTGATAGGCATCTTTTCTTTACCTGTTTTTGTAAATGTTAGTTCTCTGTAGTGAGGTCATAAATTCCTAACACAATTTCTTATTCAATCATGGAAGGTGATTTTCTCCTTATTGGTTTTGCAACTTTTAAAATCAGCACTGAGGATTCATCCTTAGTTTATAGATAATAGTGTACTATGTATTTGTATAATGATGTATTATTTATCTGTATATGCATTTTCATAATAACTGTAAGTTAGGATAAAGATTATTTACTAATTCAGATCAGAGAGATTATGTTATACTATTGACAATCACTCCTGTATTTTATTATGTATATTTTATGCTAATAAACGAACTTAAAAACGAAAAAAAAAATTTCTTGATATGACTGTAGATCACAAAAGTGGCCAAAAAATTCATACAAGTTGGTTCCAAAAACCTGCCCAATCCGGTAGATATCTCAGTTATTTGTCAGCTGCACCATCTATACTATAAGCTCCGAGACCTCCTAATTTTGCGAAACTGGTAACGCTTAGTTCCAGCGTTCTACCGAGCCGATTTTTATGATTTTTGCGGCTATCGACGGGCAATTATCTCTAGATAAGCCAACTCTTTTCAGATTTTCAAAATATGGCCTAGGTTTTTTTATATCAAGTGGTAAAGTTGCGAATTCTCCCATTTAAACAATGTAAATTTATACTTTTTGTCATAGTTCGTTTGAGCGTTCTACCGGGCCGATTTCCAAGTTTTTTGCGGTAATCGACGGGTAATTGGCCCTAGATGAGCCCGCTCTATTCAGATTTTGAAAATAGGACCCACGTTTTTTTACAATCACGTTATAAAAGTGAGTGAATTTTCAGAATGCTCCGAGACTGCTACCGCTATGCGCGGGAGGATGCGCAGTGGTCAAGGAGGTTGCGCAGTAGCTGTGTAGCCTGCGCATCAGCTCTACACTTATCTACACAAGATTCGCTTTGATTCCGTCAAGATGAGCGGTGGCCGAGTCGTCAAAGACGTCGGAAGCGTCCACTTAGATCATGGTGTGGGTTCGATTCCTACATCCCGATTTACTTAATTTTTACCTGATTATCAATGATCGTTGTTTTACTGCAATATTTCATCAAGCAGTCATTCCAAAACGCGTCCTTTAGACTTCAAAAAAAAATGTGTTTATCTTTATTCATCAAAACCAAAAAGTATTATATTCTAAAAGTAAAGTATATCTCATATCGTAATTTTTTAGGGGAAAAATAAAACTAACATCGATAGGAGGGTAAAAATAGGGCCGCGAAGCGGCCCATTGACGGCGCGGAGGGCCTTCAGGGGGTCGGGCCGCGTAGCGGCCAGGGGGCGTAGCCCCCTAGTTACATCATAAAATTAACGTAGTTAATAACTTACTTATGAGAATTTACAGACTCACTGACAAGTATTACTTGAAAGAAAGTTTGTCCCGTGCTGAAAAATTGTTACTAAGGAATGGTTATCTTCTCGGGTTAGTAAAAAAAAGGCATTAATAAAAAGTGTCATTTATCCCGCAGAAATATTAACGTACGACCATTTAAGAAAAATTTTAATACTAATAAGGTTATTATGATGCCCTACGTTGGAGGTCTATCTGAAAAATTGTCCCGGAACTTGAAGGTTTTAGGTTTCGAGCCTGGGTTTAAGAATTTAAAAAATAACAGAGAAATTTTCACTGAGCTTAAGAGCAAAACGCTGGTTGAAATGTTGTCGGGAGTTGTCTATAAAATTATCTGTAACGAGTGTTCTAGTTCTTACATTGGTCAAACCCAGCAATACCTAAAAGATAGGATTAAATCTCATAAATATGGTAAAGAAAAAACTGCCTTACACCAGCATGAAGTTTAAAATGGTCCTACTTTTGATTTTCAGAATCCGAAGGTCAGGGAAAAAGATCTTCCGGCAAGATTAATCCACGAGGCAATCCAAATGAAAAAAGAATCTGGTATCATTAATTTTAAATCTGATGTTGAGTGCCTTGGCGCGATCTATGATCAATTCTTGTAATCAACTTTTCGTGTCGTTCCCATCTCCTTCCCTAGGAGATCTGACTGTCTTGTTGGTTTTGTTTAGTTTTGTCATGATAGTCTGATTTGATATGAGATTATGATCTAACTTTGATTTAGCAGCTATTTGTGCTTATTGCCGTTTTACTTTGCCTCTTGTCTTGCTCACTTTGTTCTGTAAAATTTATTTCCTTACACCATGTATCAATCTTGTAGTGCTTTTCCCTTTCTCTTTGTGACTAAGCATCTTACCAGTGATTTTTACTCTTATTTACGTCCTTTCCTTTGCACTGATGAAGACCGAAGTGTTGGTCGAAACGTTCGCGTGTCCCCCATGTTATCTTCATTGATCACACCACCGTCACAATTTTAATATTATTATGAATGGCGTACTGGTGTAAGAGCTAAGATAATAAATGACTGATCTTCGTCTTATCAAAGAGAATTTTTTCATCTGAAAACTTCAATCGGCACTAGTAATAAATGAGTTATTTGTTAGTGTCTCTCTCAATTTCCATTTACTGGAACTGGGGAAAGAGAAGATTGGACAACTGAAACTGGGATGAGTAAAACTATGACAAGGTTTACTTACATTTTCTGGTACTTTCATCCTGTTTGCTTGTTTTAGTGGGGATCTTTTCAGTTGTCTGTCCACTCACGCCCCACTGCAGATTGTTGCTGTTGATATTTAGAGGCTTCTTTCGATTGCTCACACTGCCTAATTTATTGTTCAAAATGTCCTTTTTATCCTCATCTAAAAGTAAAGTAAACCAAGAAAAAATGAAAAATGATTGGTGAAAAACCTGGCATGTACTTAGAGATCCGTATTTATACATCATTTCCTTCAAATTTAATCGAGAATTTGGAAAAAATCCAGTAATGAAAATTATATCTTTCTCTCACATGTTGAGTCAGTGAGCAACGTCCATTGTAGTAGTTTCTGATTTTAATTTCAAATATGTCTTCACAAATTTGATGATCTACTACCTCATAGTACATATTAGTGGTGCTATAAATTATAGATCAATTTCTTGTATTAACTTGTACATAATGATAATTATTAATTCTTAAAGATACAGATGGTGTAGCAGCTTGAAATAGTGGCAGATATTGTCCCTAGATCAGATATAGTCACACTATAGAAAACAATGGGTTAGGAGTGGTTTTTACCTTGAATAGCCGCAAATTTTCTCCTGTCATACATTTAAAATCACATAAAAATTACTGTGAAAGAGGGATACATTATCTTTAGCACTGAATTTTAAATGTAATAGAATAAAAATAAAACTTTTTCTCCGTTTGATCTTGATGTGAGTAGGCTCCTTTTTTTCTGTGAATTATCTGTTGAACGAGCGAAATAAAAATATTCCTGTTTCTCTTTTGAAAATAATTTTCTGTTGAGCTCTTTTGGTAGTTGTGAATACTCTTTTTTTAGAAATTTGGGTGATAAATACTACATATTTATCAGATGATCCCTTACATTCTTATACCAATTAGAAAGAAATTAAAAAATTTCCCTATGATCTTCATGAAAATTGGGAGAGTGAGAATGACTCTTGGTCTTTAGGATGATTCTGTTTTAGTTTTAATGCTTTGTATGTTCAAATACTAAAATGTCACTAAGCTGCGGCATGTGTTAGAACTTGAATGAAGAATCATTTTAGAGACTGAGTGCGGAAACTCTGGATTCTGAAGGGAAACTTGGATGCAGATACGCTCTTAAAAGAATTAGGGAAAGAAAAGATTGGACAGATGTATCAACCCAAGAAGCATAAATTAACAGTCAGTTAGTAAACACAAGAATTTCTGACGAACAATGCTGTTTCCGCAGGAGACTTTCGTCCACTCTTTACTTTCTCCAGTCCTGATAAGCAAAGTATAGTCTGGGTGAAACTGTTAATAGTTATTTTTCCCAAAACGGACAATTCGAAAACTGTTTGAAAGATGAAGTGGAAAGACACTTACTGGTGGTTTTTCCTGCTTTTGATTTTTTGTCAGAGCTTGCATTTTTCTTGGAGGGTTTCTTCTGCAAAAATTCAATGTTGTTATCTATTTCCGACGCTATATTGAAAAATGAATCTTGCGATGGGGTTTTGTTCAAATCGTCCAATGATATCCACCGCCTGATTCCTGGGGAGTGGGATTTTTTCTCACAGCCACCCTTCCCTCCATGAGGGATGTTCCCGGAGCTGTTGTGTTCATCGCTGCCTGACGAGTGTTGTCTCTTGAGGACTGGGTTTGTCTTGCCAGAGGTAGTGTCTGAAAAGAAATTTTTGAACAAGTAATAAGAAAATGAGAACACTTAGGCAAGCAGGACAACTTTTACTTCAAATCTCTCAAACCCAACTCCCTCTGCGAATGTTCTGGAATTGTCAGCATACAAGATGGTAGAGTATAAATAGATGATGGGAGCAGATAAACTAAGTTTCAGTTACTTTCTAATTTCCTCCCTTGGAGGGTGTTCAAACTGGCAGGGATGCAGAAAGTTCAGGGCCTTCCCATTCTTCATATTGGCCTCTTCGATTTAAAAGTTCCCTTTTTCTCCAAAAAATTTGAACAGATGACTTTTTAATGGCTCAAACACATAAATTGGCGCTACCTACTTTCAGCAAAGCATGCAATTTCTACAGCGATTTCACAAAAATTACATGATTGTTATCGCCGTTTTGCCAAAATAATAACGATTCTGCCAGCTTTCCGATTTCGAAACACTGTTTTTGGGGCCCTCTCATTTCTCACCCGCTCGGTCGAGTGGTCGAGAAGTTTTTGCATCCCTGCAAACTGGCAGCGGCAGCTGTAAAATCACAGACTGAAATGGGCGTAACAGCCTAAGTTGGCAAATCAATACACCCCAGACAAAGAATAAAGGGAATGAGTCTCCCTCTTTGAGATAAAGGTTTTAAAACAGCAGTTGCTTCACTTGTATTGGGTTCACTATGACATTACACTATGTCTTCTTGGGAACCTTACACAGCATCTTCAAATATTTGGATTCATTATGAATTTTACTGATCCTTTTCAACAAGTGCAGGCAAGAGCAGTAATAATATATATATTAAACATTAGCAATAGAGAAGGAAAGGTAGAATAATATATACATAAAGTAATATAGTTAGTAATATTTAAGTGCTGTACATACAAACAGCACTTAAAATACAGCCACTGTGAATAGCGTGACAGAAAGAAGGATTATTGTATTGAAACTTCATTCACAAGGGCCTAAACTTACATTCATTTAGAATATGTAAATAGAGCTGACATAAAAGACACTTCTCCCGGCATTTAATGATTAGAACTTTCCTTGAATCTCCCTCACTTTGATTCTACTACATAATGTAGCTTTCTGTTAATATATTGAAAAAATGCTTTGGCTTGGAGGACGTCTGCCTGAGATACCAAAGCCATGGTTATATCTCTAAGAATTTCTGAACTTGGCTCTACTTAGGGGTCTCTTTGGTAATAATTCAAATACTTACTTAAAGTGCAAGATTTCTCACCTTTTTTGCCTTTTGCTGCTTTTGAACGACTACCATTGTCAGATTTGGTAGTACTGGAAGCTTTGGCAGATGAACCATTAGTCGATGGAGATGAAGCCGTAGCTGGAAGAGATTTTGTGAGAACATCAGAATAAGACAGCCGCATCGGTTTCACCTCCGCCACCATCCTTGGCTTCTTGATGGTTGAGTTAATTCCTGCTCGACTTGGACCAAAACTGTTTTGATTCAAAGAGTCGTGGATCTCCTTCGACTCTGGTGAAGGGCTGGCTGCTGGTGAACCAAATGGGCTGTATGTCCCTGTTTGATTCGGCATCCAATTACCAACCAAATGGTCAATCAGTTGCCGACTAGTGCTGGTGGGACTTCGGTTCTCTTCCTCCTGTTTATCACTGAAGAGACCATACTCCTGCTGCCGATACGGCGGAAAGTTGATGTTCTGATTTGATCCGATGCCGGTGGTAGGCCGGGACTTGAATTGGTTGTCATTATTGTTGACACCATTGAATGGAATGAAATTATTGCTGTTGCTCAACTGAGATGTTGGATAATAATATGTATTTATTTCTGAAACCTTAATGTGAGACTGGTCTACCTGTAGGTTTATTTGGGTTTGTGGATTTTGCAGGAAGATAGAAGTTTGTTGATTTGGCCAGCTGTTTGTAGGAGATGGCAGTGGTTGACCCAGAACATGATACTGGCCATCATAACCTTGCAAATCTGCTGTTATATGGTCTATAATGTCATCTATTGGTCTTTTCCTTTCAGTATTGCGGCCCGGATCCGCCATTTCTGCAACAAAAAACACCTGTTCAAGCAATCAGACGAAAAAACCCAACAAAACTATAGACCTCTGAAATAAGATAAGACAGGACACTTCCTAGATGAAGGTATGGTTTATGACAAGAAAAACAATATTAGAGTGTGGAAAAGGACTAAAAATTCAAAATTTATGATGATGACTCCGCTATGATTAGGTTAGGTTCGTCAAGCTTGGGTTGATAGCTAGGTTGTTGAGACAAATCTGACAGTACACATATATCTAGTGTAAGAATGCTGATATTGCTGAGGAAATATTTAAGAGCAACCCTAGAATTTGAACATTTAACCTATGTTTCTCGCAGCAATTCACTCTTGTCCACATGTACCGATAAGTTTGATAATTAATACAGCATATTCACAGTAAGTTCAAGTTTCGGGCTGACATACAGGAGGGTTAATGTTCTTAGGGAATTAAACACACTTAAATTTCAGAATTCTTAAAACCTAGGGGCAAATGGCGTTGAGGAGCAATTGTATCATTGTAATGTACTAAGTAGCAACGAAAATTTTTCTGCCTGCACAGCTGATAGGTGAAGTATCAACAAACAATTCAATGCCGACTGGTTTAATAGAATTATTATTGACACAAATGGGAGGGAATGGAACCTGCAGTAATGTGTATGATAAGGATGGTGGTAATTTATAGCTGAGGAAACATGGTAAAGGGAGACAACGGAACTTGAATGATAATAATGTTGATATCATACTGGAAGATGAGAGAAATGTAAGATTTGTGAATGCTAGCATTTCAGAATAAATAGGAAATCGTTGGATCCATCTTCGTTGATAAAAAGCAGGGAAAAGTGTGAGTTTTCCTCTTAAATAAAGTGAAGCCAGAGAATATTAGGGTAGAATTGTTGGTGAATACCGACCTGAGAACTTGGAGTTGAAGAAACCAGTCACTGCATATTTCGGAAGGTTTTCAAAGAAACTGAAGGTAGATTCATGTCCAGTCCGACGTTTGTAAACAATCAACCAGGGATTAGGCGAAATTAAAAACAATCAATCCCACACGTTGGCCGCCATTATCTTTGTCTTCGTGGATACAACAGCTAAAGCAGACCGAGCAGGAAAATACGAAAATACATCTTCAATCGCTAATCATCACATAATAATAATTGTTATTACCGCATTCTATCGACAAGATGGTGCAACGCACTGGAGTTGTTACAATCAAAGTGCAAAATTACTCTGCTAGAGAACAGCACAAGTACATAAACCGACGCTTTATTTCATCGTAATTTTAGCGGGTTTTGTTTTTGTTTCAATATTTCAAAACAGCAATGAGTTAGTCAGATTGTAGCTAGTTAACTGTTGATAATTACTTTTGCTGATCCTTTAAAATGAAATAAATTTCTCGTGCCCAAGCTCAGGTAGCGTTGATAGTTGGTTTGGTTTTCTAATAATAGAACTATTTGGCCTTCGCGGCCACGCTAGGAAGTATCTTCTCCCAATGAAGGCGTTTTTTATACGTTGACACTCGAGCAACCGTATGATCTCGCTATCGCTAATCTACGCTGCCTCACTGTTGAACCGAGACCCCTTCAACGGTTTTGAGTGTTCTTTTCGAAGGAAATAAAGTTTTCCCTCTTAATTACAGTTCGTTCTTCTTCCCTCGGCGTGTGCTTGGATCAAATTTTTAGAGGGACCCCTTAGAGTACCTTTATAGACAAGGTATATGTCTATAGTACCTTTATAGACAAGGTATATGTCTATAAAGGTACTCTAGGACCCCTGGAGTCTTACTCACAATTGGATTGGATTGCATTTTGCAAAAAGGAACCACTAGCATTGCAATGTTCCTAAAATTGTGCGACTTCTTTTGTCTTGGAAGAAAAACCCGATTATCCATTTATAGTTTCTATTTTACTCGCTAAAAACTGTAAATTTAAGACAAAAATTACCATCTGAATTTCATAGTTTTTCACGATTTCCGCAATTTTACTGCAAAACATGAAGTTGCACAATCTTAGCATCATTGCAATGCTAGTGGTTCCTTTTTGCAAAATGCAATCCAATTTCAAGCCCTTTTATGCGCGCGCACCCCGGAACTTCGAACGTTAATCCAAAAACATACAAAGGGTGCGACTATTCGGCCTTCGACTGAGGTCATGCGCATTATGCCTCTTATTAGGAGGAGGCACCAACAAGAGCAATGAATATTGACTACTCACTAATTGAAAGGGTTCTTAAAATTGAAATTTAGCAATTCCTTTGCAGAGGCATGGAATAACAGTGCGAAACCGCCTATCTCCATTGCCAAGTTTAAAGACTTCCATTCCTTTTTCCTTTTCACATAGATACACATACCAACTTATACTGTGAAATTTATGCAATATATTCTGCTAAGTAATGAAGAAGGAAAACTACGGAAGTTTTCAAGAAATTACGTCGACTAGTTATCAAAAGAAGAAAGGCAGTATGATGAGGAGTTTGCAACATCACAAACAGAGATACGTGGTTTTGCACTATGGCCATGGATAAGACACAATGTTTTAGAAGTATAAACAATTATACATCCCCTCCGTTAGTTCCATTAGTGGATAAAAAATTGGGGTCCAAGTTTTGGAAAAGAGTGAATTTGATTCATTATTTGAGTCATTGTTACTATCATTAAAACTAGCTAGGCTCAGCTGATGCTTTTACAATAAAAAAACTTAAAACTGAGGTGAAAGCTCACTACTTGATTCATGGCATGAAAATGATTCTACAACAGATTCAGGTTGAAAAAGGCTAAAACTTTTATTTAAATTTAATTTCAAAAACAACAGCAAGTAGGTATCACCAAAGCAGATACTGGTTCTAAAAATAAAATTTTCAAAAAGAAAAGGAATGAATAGAAGAGATTGAAAGCTATTTCTAAAAGAAAAATTTAAAATTACAAAATTTCATTACAATTTTTGCAACATCTTTTTCTTTCTGTGCTGTATTAAAGTAAACGTTTTTGTGTAATCAAGAAATTGGAAAATTTTTTTGCTCTTAACAACCTCCCCGAAGACGGAGGACAAGATGGAGGGTCGATTCTTTTTGGATGTTGTAGTCGGACAGAGTTCTTCCATCTTCCAACTGCTTGCCAGCAAAGATCAAACGCTGTTGGTCTGGGGGAATGCCTTCCTTGTCCTGGATTTTGGCTTTCACGTTTTCAATAGTGTCTGAGGCTTCAACTTCTAGAGTGATGGTTTTGCCTGTTAGGGTTTTGACAAAGATCTGCATACCTCCTCTCAATCTCAGGACCAAGTGAAGTGTAGACTCTTTCTGGATGTTGTAGTCGGAGAGAGTTCTTCCATCTTCTAACTGCTTTCCGGCGAAGATCAAACGCTGTTGGTCAGGGGGAATTCCTTCCTTGTCCTGGATTTTTGCCTTAACATTCTCAATTGTGTCTGATGCTTCAACTTCCAGGGTAATTGTTTTGCCAGTCAGCGTCTTCACAAAAATTTGCATACCTCCTCTCAATCTCAGGACCAAGTGAAGGGTAGACTCTTTTTGGATGTTGTAGTCGGAGAGAGTTCTTCCATCTTCTAACTGTTTGCCGGCGAAGATCAAACGCTGTTGGTCAGGGGGAATGCCTTCCTTGTCCTGGATTTTTGCCTTCACATTCTCAATTGTGTCTGAAGCCTCAACTTCGAGGGTGATGGTTTTCCCTGTTAAGGTCTTGACAAAAATCTGCATGATGTTTCTGAAACAAATAAAGAGACACAAAATTAGCTGCTGGGAATTCACAATGACAAGAAGTTTTTATGTAAGGCTATGATGATGAAACCTACATAAAAAAATGAAGGTTTTGGCTAGTTGCAATAAATGTTCCTGAGCTGAAATTTCAGTGTGAAAAGGATGGCTTTATCTTTGTTGTTTCAAATTATCGCACAGGAGAAGAGCAGTATGTTCTCAGAATAGATTTGGCTGTTACGTCTTGTTATGATCCTTCAATAATGCTCTTAATGGAGAGGGGCATTTGAAAGCAATTGAAGCAAAGCTTTCCATTGGCACTAAGATTTTAATGAATCATGAATTATCTCTTCTAATGGGTATGAGATCTCAGTATCGGTTCATATGAATGGGCTCAGGTTCAATTTGTTGTCAAAGTGGTACGCAATATATTGTATCAAATTAAGTAAAATCTTTGGGGGATTTTGATTTTCAATTCATAGGACGATAGCTCCTGCAAATGATTCTAAAAAATCATTCCCAGTAGAAAATTATGCAATATTCAGAGAAATGAAAACAGGAATTGTCTGCAAAATATCATTGCACCCAATTCGGTAAATGACCTTCGTATTCGTACACTTTGTTCATGAACTTACTCAGTAAGTACGGCTATCATCCTCAATTGAGCTAAAAAGTCAAAATCTGCCGAGATTTAATACTTTGACAATGCAATACATCGTTTACCAGCTTAACCACGCCCAAACCCTGGAATGAATCACCTTAACCTTCAATACTCACTCCTCACAATGACACTGTTATACTGGTGACACTGAAACAAAATGATGAACAAGGTCACAGGATCTGCTATCCTAGAAAACAGGTCAACAGTTGTAGACTGTGAAAATGAGCAAAATTTGTGCTCAGTTGATAGGAATCATAGGTGAACAACGGCCTTGGAAAGTTCTAGACTTCTCTCACGTTGCATCATTCTGATCACCTATTTTGAAACAGCCGTAACAGTCGGATGAGGCATTGAGACAGCAAACAGATGACTCTTTTGGGTACAAAACTATGCACAGAGAGTTCGACACAACAGGAAATTCATAAGTGAATTCCTCTTCTACTGCCGTATGAACATATGTCCCACTTACCAAGTGTAAAGACGGATAAAAAATCAAAATATTTCCACAGAAATCTAGGGCGGGTAAGGAGTAGGACACAATAGTTGATCGAAGTGAGAAAACAAAGAGTTCAAAATAGTAAGTGAAATGAGGGACAAGAAACTCAAATTTTGAAGAACAAAGGATTTAGTTATTACTAAACTTTAGTAATAACTAAATCCTTTGTTCTTCTCTGTAAGTTTTCTGATTCCTGCAGCTAGCAACAGCAGTTTCTTTGTCCTACGCCGTACTTCCGCCATTTATGTCGCAGCAAATTGACTTTAGTAATAACTAAATCCTTTGTTCTTCAAAATTTGAGTTTCTTGTCCCTCATTTCACTTACTATTTTGAACTTTTTGTTTTCTCACTTCGATCAACTATTGTGNAAAACAAAAAGTTCAAAATAGTAAGTGAAATGAGGGACAAGAAACTCAAATTTTGAAGAACAAAGGATTTAGTTATTACTAAAGTCAATTTGCTGCGACATAAATGGCGGAAGTACGGCGTAGGACAAAGAAACTGCTGTTGCTAGCTGCAGGAATCAGAAAACTTACAGAGGTAACAGAAGTAAGTACCAATATCTATTCAAAATACTTACAAGAGGAGGAACTAATGCGAAATATGATCAAGTCTAGAAATTGAAGAACGAACGTAAAATTCTAAACCGAAGACTCAAGAAGTGAAACCTACAGCTCACGTCAAACGATAAACACAGACTTTTAGTATTTAGAAAGCAGGTTAGAGCATGAGCATTCCCCTCTCTCTCGCCCCTCCGATTCGCCCATTTCTACGCCATGTTGATGACGTACTAGCGGAAACTCAAATGGCGCGAAGTTTGAATTGACGCGTCGGAAGCGTGTTTGCACCTTATTTGATGTAACAGAATACATATAAAATATGTATTAATTGAACGCATTTAAAATTTTGTTTCGACTGGGTTATATTGCTTTCATAATGTAATAGTCAGGACTAACCTAAAATTGATATGAAAACTTCAAATTTAAATCAAATTTAAAAAAGAGGAACTGAGAAAATAAAAACTAGAAAAATCAGAGAACAAAACAAAGTATACTCACGGATGGCTCAAACATTTAACTTCGATTTTCAGCTCACACACCTAGGCAAGACTTCATCAGGCAGTCAATGACACATTGGTAAGATTTTAACTTTTGGGTCTTCCACATGAATTCGAAAGCCTGTTGAGTATAGAATCTGTTCTGCACTCTAGTTTGTTCAAATTCTGCCTGAAAATTTTCCATTCCGACTTAGGAACATTTATGTTCTCTCCAACAATGTGCCCCTCCATGGTGATAGCAATCAGTTTTAACTCTGCTTTCAGTGATTCTAAGCCATCATCTATATTTACTTCGCAGCTACCGGCAGAATATTTTGTGATACTTGTTTGATCTGGCAAATAATTTTTCAGACAGTTCAAAAACAATATCAATTGTTTCGAGTTCCTGCAACAGAAAATTGATTTAATTTACAGCAGTTAGGTTTGACTGACTATACGGATCTACCAGGACTTTTCCCAGGGGGCCAGTTGGTCAAAAAGCCGCTCCAGTGAGAGGAAAAAGGAACCGAGAGGGAGAATGGGTGGGGGAAGAGAAGAAAACTGATGAAAAGGCTATAAGACAATTGATTCTCTGTAACTGTGAACTCAGCACTTTCTTATCATCCTATTACTTGCAATATTCTGGTCATATTATTAATGTATTTTAACTATGATAGGTACATTCCTTTGGATAAGAGAGCCTCTACCTATGGAGGTTGACAAAATTTTTGCATATGGGAACTCACCTGCCAAACAGTGATAAAAAGAAACTGGTAGACGCGACCGTTTTGTAGAAAAGTAACATTCCACGCAAGCCAATATTTGAGGGTGTTTCATTATAGTAGTAACCAATTTTGGCTAAAAATTTAAATTTTAGCCTCTTAGTTAGAATCTCATCAACAGAACAATCTAAGGTGCACGGTGTTGATATTATCAGGTCCATCGATTTGCTAGATATTGTTGCAGATAGTAAGTCATGGGCTGAAACAGATAAAAAACCAAAAGATTTCATCAGACAAAGCAGAACAAACATATTTTAATTTATAAATAACTTTTAATGTATGGAGAGTATAAATAAAAAAACAAAGAATTAATAGAAAAATAACGGAACAGATCAGAAAATTGCACTCGTTTGCGTTCATATTGTCATGGGTAGGTACTTTTCCCCCGAATTTTTCCAGTTTTGTTATCAGCATGTCAGATATTTATAGTCCATATTACTAGTCAACAGACAAAAAAATTCCTGATTCCCCGATATGTTGATAAGGATTGGTTGATATAATCGATAGGTACTTTGATGTTCGAGATGCCATTTCTAAGAGCATATCACATTTTTGAGAAACAATGTCCAAAAACAAACAACTGATCTGTACTCTATACCTTTAGAGAAAAGGGGACAAAATTCAAGCTTCTTCATTTTTATTTCTACCTCATTTTTAAACTTATTTTGCAGAAGCAAAGCTTATATAGTTGGGAGTTATTTCTCTACTTACTTATTTCTAAACTTTTTGAGAAAGGAAGAAGAGTATCATTTAATAGGTCCTCTGCCCTTAAGGAAAAGGGAGGTAAAGCAGATTGGAATTTTCCTGAAAGAAAAGAAAACAAAAAATGTATGAGTATCAGCATAATTTTTTCCCTACAACTTTAGAGTAAAATTACAGTTCATTATAAGAGGAGAAACACTTTTTTCCCAGAGAGGTAGCATAAAAGTAGCCAAGGAGAGGGCACTGAGGTATTCTGTACTTCCCTTTTGATTGGAAAATGTCCAGACTTGAATATTATTTTTCTGATATGACATAAATGATGAAGACCATTTTAATCTTTAGACCCACCCTTTTCCGTACATTTTCAATCTCTACATCATAATTAACAAAATCCAAACAACTTGACTGGAAGTAGCAGCTTCAGTTCCTCATTAGAAAAAAAAAAATGTTTTCATAAAATAAAATGATTTTCTTTTAATTTAATGAACCAGTCGACAAGGTGCAAATCCAAGCATTATTATGCATGTTTCTCACCAAAATATCACGTAGAACACAATTCACAAAACTAAACTGACAACTCCTAACTGAGATTTCAACGTTTTCAGTTTACAGTGATTACAGATAATTTGAATACCCCACTCACAAGAAAAACAATTGTCTACTTGAATCAAATCGCGCACTAAAATGGTTTTGGCAGGCTTCTTGGCCCAGCAATGTTCCTTCCCTGCCTTGTATTCTTCAAAGTGACAACAACGTGGAACAGCTAAGTCGAAGTACCAAGGTTGAGATTGCCATACTTTCATACCCCAGAGATTGTTACGGAAACGTTTAGTGCGCAATTTGATGTATGTAGACTTTATTTTTTCAAGAGGGGAAAGGTTTGAATTCAAGCAACAAAAAACTTTAAAAATATATCATAGTTAGAAGTTTGATTCAGAAATGCTCGACCCAAAAATCATGTTGTGCTTGAAATTTTGATAAGAAATAATGGATCATATTGATTGAATTCTCACCTTGTCCGGTAGTCAATTATGAAAAAGGTGTGTCTTTTAGCTCAGTTTAATAATCAGTTCTAAAATGTCTGTCAAGCTCCACTTTCAAACTGTTGCTATTTCCAAAAAAAAAAAAAAAAAACCTAGGCTCCTTTCTGATGTATAGCTTTTTGAGGAGAGAGAGAGTGTTTTTTTCCAGCTCAATGTGTTTTCCTACATGCTGTGCTTTCTTGCATACTTGCGGAAGAGATCCAAAGATATGTGTTGAAATTCTACAAAAAGTCTCCAGTTCTAAATTTTTTTGTACACAGAGAAAACTTTGGATAAGGTGCCCTCTCTAGTCCTACAAGTTTTGGTCAGCAGACATACACGATGAAAGAAAGCATGGAATTAGAGAACTGTTAAAAATAGAATACATGAGTGAAGAAACACTGCCCAAAAAATACCTTTAGAACTTACTTTCTTTTATCTGATAGGAGATCACACCCCCGACAGAAACATGACTAGAGTCCTTGAAGCATGGACTTTCCATAACGGCTGCAAAAGAGAGACAACACAAAAATAAATCCGATTTCTGCTGAAGTTGTAAAGATGAACAAAAACTTACAAAATTTTAGATTCTAGATAAAATATCATATACTCGCAAAAGTCAAACGGAAAGCCAAAACTTTAAAATCTTGAAAGAGCATCAGGAGGAACAAAAATGTCAATAGAGGGATGAGTCAGGGATGTTTTGAAATATAGCGGGATAAGTGGTGATAATTCGCGGTGAATTGGGATGAACACTGAAAATTCGGTTAAAAAGATGATGATCTGGATAAACGTGGATGAAGAGGGATAAATCTTAAAAAGTTGGATAAAATCGGGAAATTCTGCTCTTCATCGAATTAAATAAAAAATATCAGTGATAAAAAACAAGTCAGAATACATTCATACATGGGTATGCGAGATCCTGGTAGCAAGGTTTGTTGAGAAAGATTTTTAAAAACTAGCAAATTTCAAAAAGGTAACTCTTAGAAAATCTGTTATTATCAAAGTTTTAGGAGACCATTTGGGGATCTTTTAGGTAAGTGAACACGAGATGAATTTAAATAAAAAAAGTGTTGAAAACTCTTTAAAATTGATTGTAGTTTCTAAACACTTTCAGTGTTTGGGAAAAATGTTGGAAAACTCATGTAAAAGAGGTAATTTTTTCAGAGATTTTTTAACGTAAATTTGATTTAAGAAATTACCATAAAGGATTCCCTGAAAATCAATTTTCAACGGTTTTTTAAAAGAGTTTTTTAAAGGTCATTGCTTCTATAGGATATGACTACTACAGGCTTGCTATAGGCTTATGTATGATTTTTTTTTTTAGGTTTTACTATAGTAAATTAGGCTATAAAGTGATAATTTGGGTTCAAAAGGGAAAATATTGAACGAAAAGGGAAAGGTAATGATGTGTCAGGATTAATCAGCCAAACATTCAGGAAATCATTAGGAAATACTGATGAATTTCACACAAATTGAATGTATCCTGAATATCATGGATGAAATTGGATAGTATTTAATTAATCAAGATGAATTTTCTACAGAGGTCTGCAAAAAACGCGGTGAGGTTATGATGGGAGAGGCTGATGTAATTTTTAACGCTGGGTCCGAAAATGACCTCAACTTTTAACCAGTGCCAACCAACTTCCCGAAAAATTGAGATTTTCCTCTAAAACTAGAGTTTTCCGGAGAAAATGCAACTTTTCGGGAAAATAGTGTATGGTGCAGAAAAGCCAAAGTTATTTCCGGATTCGGTGGCCGAACAATCGGTATTCATGGGGAAACAACTATTGGGTGCTGAAAAATTTCCCCCACTGTGTTTCACAACGACGTTTTTTCGGTCAAATGGTATAATCCGCCTCTATTTTTTAGCTGTTGAAGTCGTAATGAAATGGCTTAATTTGCTTCACCGCCCACCAATTTACCGGGCAGCTGAATTTAAAAAGAAAAGAAAGAAAGAAAGGAAAAACACGCATTTTTTGGCCCTAAACAGGGAAGTTTCGAGGAAATTCGATTTTGCGGATTTTGCGTGTCGCAGACTAGGATCAGTAGAAGATATGTTAACCTACCGAGAAAATAAGCGGTAGAGTTAGGTGGGAGAGAGGTGGCCGGCTGAAAATGGTCAGGGCGTGGGGACCCAGTATCGGAAATCCGACAGGACCCGCCATCGGTCGGTTGTCTGTTGAGCCGCAGCATTTGCGAGGAGTACTCTTCTGCGTCTAAAATCAATTCAAGCTCGCTCACTCTGTAACAAGTTCAATCAAATATTTATTTAGTAAAGCCTGCTTTCTAGCGGCGCTGCTAAAATATCGAGCGAGAGGAAGTAGATTTTTCACCTCCAGGCCTTCTTGCGCACAAAATTGTTGCTTACGGTCAGTTCTGCTCTGAGTATCACGCCTACTTAAACCTTAACCACTAGTCGGCGAAATTTTGATTTGCTCTTCTTGAAAAATGGAAAGTCTCATACATATTTTTTCAAAAAAGAGAGAGTAATCATTTTGGAATTAATTGAAGCTGAAGATAACAAAAAAAAGGGGGAAAAAGAAGCGCAAAAAAACTTAACCAGAGGATCGAAGTCAACAGGCTGCATCCCAAGCAGTGGCGAAGCGTATAAATGCGATCAACTATCGATACTTCCCCATTTGAAACTATGGTAAAGAATCGATTATGAAGGTGTATTTTGCGAACACCCTGTTTATCGATTCTTTCCCATGTGTTTAAATGGCAGATCAATCGATATATCGCTAGGCATGCCACGCCACTGATCCCAAGTAGCATCGGCAAATAAATTTGAACTTGGAAAAAACCTCAAGAATGAATTGTTAAAATGCAATCGCCAGAAAATCCGTTGGGTTCTTCCCTAATTAAAACGTGAACTAGCATCCATATCGCATTAGCAAAATTGAAGGCGCGACAGCGTGAGGCGTGGACTCGCAATGCTCCGCTACATGTATGCTGCGCTGCTGGTGAGGTGTCGCTCACATTGAGGAGAAAAGTTAAACAACGAAGCTAGACTATGCGTTCCCCATCTTTTGCTATGTTGCTCACATGGCCCTTGAAGCACCACTACAATAAAACACACGGAACCAACACGACATGGAAACAAAACAAGGGAAAAGGACGTGCGTTGATGACGGCGCAGGGATACAACTATTCGTGCTTGATGGATGTCCGTGTTGCGTCTGCGAAATTGAAGGCGCGAGGCGTGAACTCGCAAAGCAGCAAGTGCTCCGTTCTATGCTGTCATGCTGTCAATGAAGTGGACGTATTTCTATCAAATGGAACTAAGCGTCAATTTGAGTTCCTTTTGAGGAATTTAGAATCCCGGATAGCGCGTTCTGTCAAACGGACCTAAGCGCCATGGAAAAGCATTGCAAGTATAGGACGAAATAAGCCGGACGCCCGATTCCGCCGCCAATCCAAGCCCCCCTCTACCTCCCTCCCCCCGTGGCGCTTAGGTCCGTTTGATAGAAATACGTCCATAGTGTCGCTTATCGTCTTTCCTATCTAAGAGTTAAAGGAGGGAGGGGAGGGGGAGTCGAAAAATCCAATTTTCAGCGTTACGTTCTAATGAGCGGCTCCTCTCCAATTCCCAATTGACACCCATAAATCAGTTAATTTTCTAAAAGATTACATTTCCCGAGGAGATCTGCTCGGTCCAGCAGCGATCAGCATTTCCCTAAAACATGACGATAGCTAAGAGAAATTTCCCGAGACAAATAAAATAAGGGCAGGTGCACGGCTCGTCTAGGGGGTGGGACCTCTACATAGTCAGGTTGCGGACCGCGTAGCTCTCGCTTTAATTCCCACGGATGGCACCCCCCCCCCCCCCCCCCCNNNNGGGTCTATGACATTGACGCGAATAAGCCACAAAGCTGGCATCGAAATCGGGTACCCATATTCCGCAGGATTTTTCCTACGGGGAAGCCGCGTGATATTGATTAAGTAAATAGGTTAGAAACATCTGCAGTATGAAACGCGGTTTATAGATCTTTGATGGGGGCGCGCGTAAGGGTGGCTGGGCTGGGGCGCCCGGTTCAGGGCGGTGCTGCCAACTTGACAGCTTTTAATACGCTTGCTAGCTACGAATCTCGGAAACCTTGACCTTCAGCGTTTTGCTCCTCTGTGAATGAATGAGCCCTCGTAGCATACCGAAACCCCACTTCGTTTCAAAAACGTTTCATCTTCATCATTAGAAAACAAAATGTTAAAGGAGTAAAAACGTTTTGTCATTTATTTCGGAAAACAACTCGGCTACTCTTAATTGTGGCTAGAGTCTTTTAAATGTTCATAACATGTTTTTTATTATTGATTTTGACACAAAAATAAATTGATAATTATTGTTATACACATTCCATGAGTGCTTTTATGAAAAATTCCAAAAATGATTTTATGAAACATTTAAAAATGTTTTTGGAATAATTAAAAATGATTTTAAAACATTTTAAGTGCCACCAGAGGTTTCTCCCCTTAGACGTTTAAAATGCGTTTTTTAGATGTTCCAGTTTTTCTTCGTTTCCAAGAAACGTCTCTGAAACATGTCACTGTTTTCAGAGAGATTTTAAAAACATTTCTAAGCGTCAGTGTACTATTAAAAGATCGGAATCAAGGGTTGAAAGCCATGAAGCACTTAGAAAGGAATATTTTGATCCTGTCATTTTATTTGCGACCTTTTATATTGAGTGAATTCCTTTATGTAATTCAACCCAGTCAAAACTATGGCTATTCTTTGAAGAACATTGAGCAAAAATGATTGAAATTAATAGTAAAATACAGATTTAAATAAATGATACTTTTACGTGTTGAACCTCGGTTCCTGATGCTCGAAACTACCGCCAAGACGCAAAATACGGAATACGCAAGGTGCATATTAATGCTAAGATTGGTGACAAACACGACATCATCGCCAAAGTAACCACACCTCCATCCAATATACAAGGTGATCTGGAGGTCTAGCACCACTCCACCCCTGGAACTTTTGCACAAATAGAGATAGAGATTCGCAATTTTGTGCGTGCTCCTAGGTCATAAGAAACGACATTTTGGAATTCCCAAAATTTGAGAGACCACTCTGAAAAGAAAAGAGGCAAGAGCTCCAGGGGTTTTGGAGGTGGTGCGGGGCTTTTGGATCACCCTGAAAACGAAGAAAAACAAGCAAAAATAAAAACAGGGTAAAAACGAACGAGTAAAAGAACGGGAAAGAAAATAAACCAAGAAAGAAAAAGATCTAACGAAAATAAACGACAAAAATAAAAAAGATAATGGGAAAGGAAAGTGGAGGAAAGATAGGAAAAGAGGAAAATAGGAAAAAAGGAGAAGAAAAAAGCAGAGGAAAAAGTATACAAGAAAAAAGACAAATCAAAAAAATAGAGAGAGAAAAAGTAAAAATAAAAAGGTAGTATGAGTTTATATTTACGAGGTGCCTTACATTGGAGACCATTTCAAAACAGCAAATAATTAGAAAAAAAAGATAGATTGAAACAAACAAACAAAAAAATAAAAAAGTATATTAATAACAAGAAAATGAGGAGAAGGGGATGAAAATAAGAAATAAGATCAGAAAGAAACAACGATTTTTAATCAATTATTATTATGTCCCTTGAAACGGCGTGGACCTGGATCACCCAATGAAAATATCCCATTGACATCCTACTGTATATTAAAATCCTGAAACTAAAATTGTACGTATTATTTGGACCACACCAGTAACGAGGTTATGAGCAAACTACCGGTGACACTATTCAGCATGAATTTGTGCACTACGAGGCCTTTTTTTAAATTTCTATTTACCGCTCGAAAAATTGTGGCAAATTAAATTTTGCATAATTTTGTGTTGTCAGTTGAGCACGCGAATGCAAGGAAAAGCCTACGAGTGCCGAGAGGTCCTGTCATTTTTGGCAACATTAAGAGGCCAGCTGGATTTACGACTTTTAAAATCGTCAAATTCGATTTTCATCACAACCCAGTCCCCTTCTCATAACTTCGGGGGAGAAGAGAAAGAGGGAAAAGGAGCGGAAGAAGACGGTAAAAAGAGAAAAATAAAGTGAATAAGATGAAGAGGAAAAAGGACAGGGGAAGGAGGAGGAGGGGGGAGAAGGAGGAGGAGGGGGAGAAGGAGGAGGAGGAGGAAGAAGAGGAGGAATAAAACAATATCGCATCCGTACCCTATCGCGAACGCCATGGACAGATCTCATATTTCGCCCGGAAAGTCGAACGTATGCAACCCGGCCTACCGTGTAGTTGAAATAGTTGCATATTGGGTTCGAAACCAACTTCGAAATAACCTCCATTGTTTTACGAATGCCAATTTAATTTTTTGAAAGGCATCTTAGTTGGTTTATGCTACGTTCTTTTGTTTGTGATGTGTTTGCTCTGTTAACTGAGGAGCCTAGAGAAAGTTCAACGGGATTATCTCGCACGGATGACTCCACTTCAAGGGAGGTAATGGAAAATGACGAGATTAATTTTAAACTGCAAATCGTGGTACTTGGGTTAATTTTTTGATGGAGAGAAAGACTGGGATAATACTTATCCTGGCTGACTTGGATATGATGAGACCCTAAAATAATAGTTTCTTATTGGAAAATGTGGTATATTTTTTGAATAATATTCTCATGATCATACCATTGTGCTTTCATTATTTATTTATTTATTTTATTTTTTTTTTTTTGCTGAATTGCTTCAAACTTCCTCGAAATTTACTTCAAATTTACTTCTTCAAACTTCCTCGATAATTCTCATCAGGCCAGCACTGACAAAAATCCCCGAGGGCTGAGCCGTGGAGCGACCAGGATGCGGATCCCCCTGGTAATATAATTAATATAATTATAAAGGCTCGGCGCGGAGAGAAAAGAAATTTCCCATTTTCAGCACGAAATATCGGATAAACTACCCGACTTTCCCGGATATTTCAATCCCTCATGAGCCGCGGTATTTTTCACGTCACTGACGCCATGACTTGATGCCAGCCGACAGAGGTTAGTCAAACCACAGACACCCTTTTTCCGCACGGGGGAATGAACGGCGCTGTATCCGCGTGGGCTGGCTTTTCCCGATTTCCCTGTCCGTTGGAAACCCTGCAGCCGCGTCCGGTTGAAATGCGGGAAAGCCCTAGGCAGCTGGCAGCGAGGCGGGCGCAGGGATAGATGCATGCCAGTGCGCAAGTGGCGTGCAGGGTCGACGGGCACAGGGCAGGGACACGGACACTGCAGCAGTCGCTTCCCGTGTAGCCGCGCTCCAGGGCGTCCGTGCGCCTTCCGTCTCGCGCCACGCAACCCGCCAAACATGTGACCGAAACACCCGCGACCAACTTCAACCCTCCAAGCACCATCACCTCGGACTCGCCGCTTGAAATTTCGACGCACGCGGAAAAAAGTGCGTTTGCAACCGAAAGAATCTAAGTATTCATTGAGATCAAATGGGCGGACTTAACCGAAAATCGGTTCTCACTAAATTCGACTCAGCCTAAACTCTCATGTTTCATTTTTTAACCCTCTACGGCATAAGCGTTACGAACTCGTGACAACGTATTTTTGGGGTTTTTGAAAATCGAATCTTGCCCCTCTGTCATGATTTGTCAAAATGTCGTTCGTTTTTCCTTTTTTTGAAAAATTGATTCCCTTAAATTTAAACATTTGAAAACCAATTTGGTACTCTATTTTTTTTTATGCAAGCTACAAAATTGACTAGGGTCCCCTAAACTCTGAGATCCAAAATTAATTCATGCCATAGGGGGTTAAATAGAGAACTGACACTTGACATTTGGTGTGCAAATATTTCTCATAACATGGGGCGATTTCACACCCTGAAGCGCTGGGAAGTTTAGGTCTCTGTTAAAAAAATTAAGCCTATGAGAAAAAATTACGCAAGTCGGAATGCAGCAACGTTGATTCCGGTTAAATCCGTCCGACTTAGCATTGTTATTAGCAAGGTGACGAAGGATAATCCCGGGTAAGCATGTCAGAGTGCCCCTCCTCACTAACATTCGTTTTAACCATCAAAAGTCATGTGAGGGACATAAAATTGAGGCTTCGAAAACTTTTGATGTCCTGACCCCATCGACGCCACCGCTATACCCCTGAAAACCCCCCAAAGAATCATTACCTATTGAAACTTTTTGGGAGCATTTTTACTTCGCATTTCATACCTCATGTGTTTCTCCCTGAAATTCGACCAAAAGTGAACTACTTTGAATAGGCTTCTTTGTAAGGAGAGAGCTCGGGGAAGATAGTCATCGTGAGGGGGGGGGAGGTTGACGATAAATAATTGTTTGGAATTTTGAAATTTAAGCGTTTGAAAAAAATAAGGACTGACACACCTGATTTTATTTTATTACAACTGTGCCGGTACCCATACTTAAGTGCTTTAAAACAATTACAAACTCGCCCCGAAATAAAGCGCGGTTTTTAATCTCATAAAGGTCTAATTCGTCATTTCAGGCTTCATTCTGACCTGCAAACAAAGTTTTTAAACATACAGTCATTTATTTTGTTTTGAAACTTGAGGTGTCAAGCCAAAGTATTGTGAAAAACAATTTCGTGTCAAGAGAATCAATGGGATGTATTACATCAGCTCGTTTCGTATCTCCTAAGTGGCCATATTGGCCAACGTGACTGCTTATCCCATTGCATTAAAACCAAACATTAACGCCATTGCATTAACGCCAACTGGGACAATTTTTCATGCAAAATTACACCGGTTTCTTGTTTCAAATGAATTAGTAGTGTACCCAAGAGCCACGAATAAGAATCAAGTTAATCAAGGTCCTCGTCTTGAGACAGTGGCAATTTTCGGAATGTCCATGACACTGTTTTACCTCCCTTTAAATATATGTAAAAGAATTGACTTTTGGTGCGGCAGCTTGCCTCATCTAAAATAGATATTTATAAAGCATGGCCGAATTTTCCCTACTTGCCGCCCATGGGCCGCCTTTATTTTGCCGCCCTCTTCTCATTCATTTTGAAACATTAATAAAAATCATCAAGTGAACGTGCCGGAGGGAGAAGGGTGCATAAGACGCGTTCACTCGTGTTGGACACATTTTTTGCGTAAGCCCTGTCAACACTACTAGCAAAAGTATACGGAACTTCGCGCGAAAGTTCAGCTCCAAAAACCTATCTCTGTGTGGACAAGGCCTTTCATTTGTAAGAAATGAACTAAAAAATTGAGAAAGAACAAACATAAATGTGGTTTAATAATTTTAACTTCCGCCGTCGCGCCGCGCTGACCGCACTGTGTTTGGCGCAATGCGTGAAGTATTCATGTAGTCTCGTAGGCGCTAATATGTGTTACATGCCGACCGCTGCGCCGCGCCGCGCCGCGCCGCGGGCTTCTCCTTTCTATTTCAAGTTCTCGTCATCATTGCTCTCTGCGCCCGCTCCAGGCCAAATTACGTGTTTGGTTTCTCTCTTAACTCAACTAATTAAAGGTGCGCAGTCTTTTGTATCACCGAAATACGACAAAATTAGAAATTAAGGAACTCTCAGGAAATGAGAGATTTTGTCACCTTTTCTTGTTTGTAATTTTATTCTGAATCCGACTTTTTTGTACCTGCATCTAAAAAAGTTGCAAAATTTGCCGCCCCCTAATTTTGCCACCATGGGCCGCGGCCCATGTAGCCACCCCCTTAATCCGGCCCTGTTATAAAGGGTTTAAATGGAGGGAAAACAGTGTTTCCGACTTGTAAAATTGCTACTATCCTGAGATAAGGCGCGCTCTATGACCTCAAAATGGCCAAAATAGCCATTTCAGCGCTCTAGTGCACGGGCATAGGTTCGAGATGGCTTCACGTGGGACCGTTAGTAAGGCAAAAGCGAGGGATATCTTCATTAATAATCTTGATTTTTTTCAAGCTCAAATTGGCGTGAAACGATACAACTTCAAGAAGGCGCCTCCAAAAGTAGACTGACTGAAATGGGCCATTAGACGAAGTTTGAATTAGAGCACTGCGCAACATGATTTCTTTTCAAAATTTTACGAGGAAAACGAACCACACAATAAGAGATTTGGAAATTATCTTCTGGAAAACATTTAAGAGTTCACAATTAAGATTAGTTGAGAGGAAAAAAAGGGAATGACGTCATTATAGTATAATCTAACTTCCATCTGATCTTCGTAACAAATATACTTGTTAATACTCCGTTGAGGATTTGGTCCTCGAGCTTTCCGTTGTATGATTCATTTTCTACGTAAGATTCTGTAGAGAAAAGATGTGATGTGTTTTCTAGTTTAGAAAATGTCCAATGAACCATTGGGGTCCGGGGATTGGAAACTTTGGAATTTGTGCTTGAAACTGCATTTGGAGTCCTTTCCCATGTGCTGGGTAACTTGGATCGTAGATTTCATTCATGAAAATAAAAACACGGTACGGATGACTGAAAGGCTGGTAGATTTCAATACTCAAATGAAGAAAATTGAACACTGGTTTTCAAGGAATTTATTTACAAAGGAGAAAATATTCAGTTTTCGAGCAAAGGGTATATCGTCGATATAATATCGACGGTGAAACTCCTTATAAACCACGTATCTCGTTTTCCGTGTTTAAAAATCTCCTCTCCTGATTTATTTTTTTGTCTGAGAGCAAATCAATATCATTTCGTGAAGTTTTCACATAACTTTCTTCACACAAAGCAGGATAATCGCGAAAATGTTTAAGCATTAACGTTGAATAGTTTTCCTTTTAAACTTGCTGGACTGGAACCTTTGGGATTTTGTGCTTGAAACTGCAATAAAAATCATTTCTATTCTAATAAAATCATTTTTAAGACGCTCGATGGACGGAGTAAGGAAGGGGGGGGGTGTAAGAAACGGCCCATGGACCGTCTTGTCCATGGGCTGGGGTGAGGAAGGGAAGTTCAAAGTTTAAGTTAGGCAATTTCAATTCGTTCGTTCGTGAGATTTCGAAGATCTCGCTGGCCGCGAAGCAGCCTGTGGAGGGTCGTAGCGGCCAGGGGGCGGACCCCCTGGTAAATTTTAACAGGAAGTCTGCAACGTCACAACCCGAGATACGTGGTTTGGAAGTTTCACGGTCGATATCCTCCAACTGCTACTGCAAGGTGCATTTAGAATCGGAGAGAACGGCTTCCAAGTCGCCTTTTTCGGTCAAGTTGGTAGCCGTATTAGAATCTTCTCGGCTTCAATTAATCAAAGCTACGTTTTTGCAGTCAAGAACGAAATAAACGACTAAAAAACCCCACGATTGACACCCTCGGCACTGGTAGGTACCCATCAGAATTTTAATCCTTTCCTGGATATTTTGGCTTTCATCTTCGCGGGTCTGAGTAAATTTCAGACCACTAATTCGGCATTAACGACCGGAGTTACAGTCAAGAGGACCCCGAACGCAACATCAAGCACAAATGCTAGAGTTTTCGGTCCTCGGGCTCAAATATTAGCCGCCATCTTGAATTTTGAGTGTTTCGCGCAAAGTAGAGTTTGACAACATCATGGTCATTCTTCCNNNNGGGGGGGGGGGGGGGGAGGCGGTCTGAGCTTGCCTCTTGTGGCTGTAAGAGGGAGGGGAAGGTTATTGTGGCCAGGTAGGGGGCTCCAGTTTACGTAAGCCTCACTCCTCCCTTTAAAAAAAAATCCAATGTTGGTGATTATTTTCAGCTAATTTCCAGGCTACCTCCGTTATTATAACGAGTGTGTTCGGGCTTTGTGGAAATCACAGTCATAAGAGTTAATAATTTACAAAATTTGAAACATATGCCGAACGGATGTAATTATCCTGAAAAAAAAATCAGGGTTGGTTAATTCACAAAATTTGATTTCTGATCGATGAAACCCATAACTAAATTACATAAGCATTGACTGCTACATTGGCCTGCCGAATTCATTCCGGATTATTGTTAAAGCTGACGAGAAAATTGCCCAATTAGACCATTTAGGGCTGTCTTAAGCTACCTTTACTCATGACAGAACTACGCACGAAAGAGCATACGTCCAAAAAAACTCTGCGACCTCTCACGCAATCAAGTCGCAATTACGTATGATTCCAACCTAATCACCTTAAATTATGTCAGAGGCATAAAATCAACATTGCTGGTTCCTTTGAGGGAACAGTTGAGATTGGCCACGCCAGTAGTAAACACGTAAGTAGACCATACTTAATTTTAATCTTCGAGGGCGCTTTTCATTCGAAAAGCTTAAAATGAAAGTAAGCTTAAAATGAAAGTACATGGAGATCTGATTAAAAACAAATATAGGAAAAATCCCCTTTCAGGAAACGACCTATCGATATCAGGTAGAACTGATGAAATTCACGGAAAATCAATACTTACGAGGTCAGAAAACAAGATTGCCCTCGTTTTAAGCAAAAGCGGTTCCGAAAAACAAAACACTTGATGATAAAAAGTTCACACGTGCACAGCAGTACGAATAGAGATTTGCATTTCTAACTTATCATTCAATGACAAAAAATAATGGGACACACACAAAAAAAAAGAGCTGAAATTCTATGTTTCCAAATGGTCGTCTAAATCTCATCGCAACTTCGAAAAGCCAGTAAGGTTTTCGATGCTATTTTCCGTTTCATCCGTCTTTCCGTTCTTCTTTGTAATTTGGTGATAACAAAAACCACAGAGAAGAACGGGAAATGCGTTCGATGTAAGCAGGTTTCACATAAAATCTATGATGTTGAATTGGGAGAAATCTGTCATTATTAGGAGTACCATTACGTATCGAATGATTAGTTCCGTAATCAGGGAAAATGGACCGAAAAGAAGACATTAGAAGGGCTCTTTGTTTGGGGTCTGTAAGGGGAGAAAATTACATCTTATGACCTGTCAGTGAGTGAATTTGCAATTTGGTACTAGAAAATTGGGATTTATGGGGATCTCGTAATCCTAGTAGACTGACTCTGCATCTATATAAATCTGTCTGCCTGTATCAAACGTGGATCTTAGGCTTAAAGACTGCGTATCTTATTCATAGCGGGTACGATTTCTTGAATGCGAATTCAAACACTATACCGGTTATCGCTCGCTATCAATACCGCGGAAAATAATTTCTTAGTTTATTCATTTTGTCTTTCAAATGTTGAGGATGTTTTTGGTGTGATGTCATCACATTTTATTACACAGCAAAATTAGACTATTATGAGGGTAAGCCCATTTTTAAGAGAATTATGTGCGTTTTTATGAGAACGAAATGACACAATGAAAAGTGACATTGCTACACTGAAAAAAAAACTTCTGCCGTGGAAGCCGTTTTTACGGGCTATATAGACATACCGTCCATGTTCCGGACTCAGAGGCCGAAATTTCCGGGCGTAGCACCCGGGACTTTTGGCCTCTGAGCCCGTGAAAGAATTTTCTCATTTTCAGCTTTCTCAACTTAAATTCTAAAATTTATGTTTGAGGTTATGTTTAATTTTTTGAACCGAACCATCGAACCACTATCGAGTACGATCCATGCAAATTCCCTTCAAGTAATCAAGAAGCGCCCCTTAAATTTTAAAATATGACAAAATTAACGTATAAAATAAATGTGCAGTTTCAGTCCAAAATTTCGGGTGGAACCTCTCCCAACAACTCTTTCCATTGTGCGCAAAGAGAAAACAAGAGTCCGCATTGCATTACAAAAGTGCGTGGTCGCCCGACGCCCCGCCCACTTACTTTTCAGCCAATCAGACACCCGACGACCAAATTTTTATTTCTTATGGGAAATAACATGGGAAATCGAAACTATGAGTTTCATTCAAATTCAGTCAGTTTAATGGCAAAAATATGTTCACGACTGGATTCTCGGTATTCTGGCGTTTCTATTGGTATGTAATATGTTTCACTTTCCTCCAAAAACATCGAAGATTTTGATTTTTGAAATTTCAATTTCCACTCGGGTTGCTCCAGTCCAGTCCAGTTTCCAGTCGAANGCAAAATTAGACTATTATGAGGGTAAGCCCATTTTTAAGAGAATTATGTGCGTTCTTATGAGAACGAAATGACACAATGAAAAATGACATTGCTACACTGAAAAAAACACTTCTGCCGTGGAAGCCGTTTTTACGGGCTATATAGACATACCGTCCATGTTCCGGACTCAGAGGCCGAAAGTTCCGGGCGTAGCACCCGGGACTTTTGGCCTCTGAGCCCGTGAAGGAATTTTCTCATTTTCAGCTTTCTCAACTTAAATTCTAAAAATGTTTGAGGTTATGTTCAATTTTTTGAACCAAACCATCGAACCACTATCGAGTACGATCCATGCGAATTTCCTTCAAGTAATCAAGAAGCGCCCCTTAAATTTTAAATATGACAAAATTAACGTATAAAATAAATGTGCAGTTTCAGTCCAAAATTTCGGGTGGAACCTCTCCCAACAACTCTCTCCATTGTGCGGCGCACAGTGGGCAGAGTCAATATAGGAGAGATCAGACGAAATTTTGAAACTTTTAACGCTTATAACTCCGTGTCTACAAAACTTTGAGGTTCTTGAAGTGGATTCATTGGTTTCCTCGTAAAATTGTCCTCTAAAAGTACCCCTTTTAATGTAAAATGTGACAAAATACACACCAAAATTTGCAGTTATAGTAAAAAAATTAATGTCCGACCTCTCTAATCGACTCGATCCACTGTACGGCGTTGCTGACATAAGGAACGGGCCGATACGGGGCGCAAGGGGATGCGACGACGTGGATTGGGGGCGGGGTCGGTCGGGGGCGAGAGGGGAGCGTCAAATATCTGCACCGATCTAACTTCCGCCAACTTTCGAGCGACGGCGATGCGACCCGGTGCGGGGCGGCGTCAAAGGCCCCAACTTTGATTTTAATAACTTTCCCGCGCGCCGTCGTCGAGGTGTTGGCGAGCCGTAACAAGAAACTCGGGCAGACTGAGGACTTTTTCAATTTCAGCGGAGCATTAAGCACATCGAGCATGAAACGACATTAATACGCGGTAAACAAGCTGCTCCTATCACGGGTAACGGTGCAATTCGGAAACTTTGCCGAGGAGACGCGATTAAGTTAACTGCATTTACTGCCGCGCTGAAGAAAAACGCTGTATGAGCCTTCAGCCGTTGCCAAATTTCCTTCGATAAAACCCGAGTTTACTCAGAAAATTGAGAATATTTTTTTTTTCAAAATTTTCAGACGATTTTGTACGCAATTTAATCTAAGATATCTGAAAATTTTAGGGAAAAATATGCATGAATTTCGTCAAAAATACATGTATTAGCAAGGGAAATTTGGCAACTCTCGAATGTTCATACGGCGTTCTTCCTTAGCACAGCAGTTTAGCTCTACGACAACTTCCTCCGAGTGAGCGACGCTTATTAGCCCCTTAGTTTCGGTGCCCTTGAGTAGAGTACCTTCGTAGGGAGGGTTGAGAAGCTTCGTCACAGTTTCTGACGTGGTCGGACTGGCGTGCAATACGTAGCATCTATTAAGTCCAAGATCTCGGTAGACTCAGATTTTTTAGCTAAAACAAAAAAAAAAAAACAAAAAGGATGGCCTGTGCGAGTGTGCGCATATGAGTCAAAAGAATCATTCTAAACCAAAAAATTGGCGAAATTCAAAGAAATGAAAGCAGGGCCCTTTTCGGACAAAATACCATGCATTCGATGCAGAAATCAATAATTGAATTGCATATAACATCTATTAAGTCCAAGATCTCGGCAGATTTCGATTTTTCAGCCAAAAAAAGAACGGTCCGTGCGCATGAGTCTAAAGAATCACTCTGAACCAAAAAATTGGCGAAGTTCAACGAAATGAAAACAGAGTATTTTTCGGACAAAATACGTTGCATTCGATACAGAACTCGATGATTTAATAGTATATAGGATGCTAGGTGTTTTTCCCACAAAATCCTACTTTCATTTCTCTAGATTTTTTGCCAATTTTTCGGTTTAGAATGATTCTTTGGGCTCATGCGCAAGCTTATCGTTCTTTTTCGGCTGAAAATTCAAAATCTACCGAGGTTTTTGACACAACAGATATGTAGTACAGTTCTGATATTGCACGCCAGTTCGAACACGCTGGAGACCGTGACGAATCACCTTAAGACAAGTTGACTCACGGATGTTTGAAACTGGAATAAGGGTTACACAAATCCAACTAACTTACTTTGGAAAAGAAAAAACCTCGAAAGCACTTTTGATGTTTCTTCTTCTTCTTCCCGCCAAAATTTGCCACCCTTACGCAATGTTAGAGTCCCTTTATACTGAGAGTCAAGACAATTTGAATCCATTTCTGATTGGTTCCCGTATTTTAGGCCTCCACAGTGTCACAAACGGGAATAAAGATTACATTTTCACCAATTGCAAAGATTATAATCTGGAATGGACCAGGGAATTACGGGTTCGGCAAGGAACAAACGGAATAAGAGGAGGAACGGAGAAAGGCATTTGAGAATGGGCCGATCAAAGATTACGAAAAACGTTCAATTTCTGTGACCTTTATTCCCGTTTGTGACATCCATGAGCCGAATTGTCTTGACTCTCAGTATAAAGGGACTCTACGCAATGTTACCTGCTCGGTAAATCTAGAGTACCTGTATAGCGAGAGTATAGACAGATGTGAAACTCTGAAAATTCATCAGACCTTCACCGATGCCTCCGCGAATAAAGTTAGGGCCCAGAAATGCAGCCAACCTATGAATTTCAAATGTCCAGAGTGATTTACAAATACAATTGTTACGAACCGTCGTTTATAAAGCATGTGATTGGCTTACTTTTTGCATAATTTTACTTATTTTTCCGAAAGAATGCTAATTTATGTACATTCTTGACCATCTTGGTTAGAATTGAAATCTGTAGGCTGGCAGTGAAATTTCGTGCGTTAGAAGTTGCTCAGAAGGGTGGCTGCACTTTTGGGCCCTAAGCTCTCCATCAAGCGATCTGTCCATACTCTCGCTATAAAGGTACTCTAGGTAAATCAGGGCATGGATACTGTTCGGGGTCGGCAAAGGGCTGAAACTCGGTTTGTGCCGCCCATTATAATAATTATATCAAACGCCCCGCGAGGGCAGGCGAGGAAAGCACTCTAAAATTTTGGTGAAACGAATGAAAAGAGTTAGGAAGGACGGGTGGAGTGAGGGTTTTAGTCGCGGAGTCAGACTTGGAGTTAGTTATCATTCGATTATTCGGGGCCGGGGTGGCA